TGAATCTGTCGGTTCTGGATGAATTCAATTCGAATCTCTCAGGTTTTGAATGAGTCCGACTTGAATCTGTCGGTTCTGAATGAGTTCAATTCGAATTACTCGGTTCTGAACAAGTCCGATTTGAATCCGTCGGTTCTGGATGAGTTCAACTCGAATCCCTCGGCCTTCGTAAGTCCGATTCGACTGTATTTCGATACTGCAAGAATTCGATTTGAATGTCAATTCTAATCTCTTAGTTCTGTGTTAATGTCGAGAAGTTTGTAGAACAGTCGAATCGTAATTAATTCAGGTCCAAGATCTTCGAGTCGAACCACCCTAGTTTCGGGGATGATCGATGGGGGACAATTAAAGTGTCAATGAATCATATATCACCGCACCCAAGAAGACAGTGACCTAACCTTTAATCCTTTACTTGGCAGACCGTGGATTTTGTAACGCCGTTTACGTTCAGAACCTGTAACGTTGCTTGCGAGGCAGTATTTGTATAGTAAGATAGACAGGCCAGAGAAGCAATGCTTTTTGTACGCGAGATTTTATGAGAGGAGTTTCCAAATAAAGGGTTAACTTCTAGTGTTTTTGTACGTGCGTGGTACTGTACGCGCATACAACAACGCGAGAAAAACAGAGTTCAAGTTTGTACAGTAATAATCGTTCTTCGGGAGGTTTATAAACGTTAACGATCGAAGCTTTCTTTTCATTAATACATTTACATACGTATAAGAACGAAGGGATGCTATCTAATCGGCTAAAATACTGCGAATAGTATTATTTACTATCTACTTATACCGTTAATTTTACTTAGGTTCGATCAGGAATTATTTTACCATCCGATTCACGACATAATATTGCCTTCTACCGATGCGCTGACCCATACTGTCCGCGTATTATGGCGACCAACCAGCTCCATTTACTCTAAGTTACACAAGACTTGTACGATATAAGTGATTAATTAGGTGTTAGAGAGGTATTGTTATCGATACCGGTTACAATAAGGGGATCACCACACTCCAAAGTCATTGAAAGATACTCATCGTTAAAGGAGATCTACGATTTCTTTCTTTCGTTAGGTATAACGTACCCGTTATAGGATAATTTTCTTTGTTAAAAAAAAAAAACAAGAAACGAATAAATCAGCTTTGGAAACGAGGCAAAGTTTATGGAAAAACTGCCAGAGACACACATACAGGCAATAAATCGTTACATTTTTAACATTAAGCGAAAACCAACGATGAATTTTTGTATATCTCGCCGCGGCTCGTATAATACGAGGTGTACGGAACAAGCGTTTTTCAAACAACCCTTCTTCGACTCGTTTACTCCGACGCAAAACAGAGAGTGGAGGAGTATAAAAATGTTCGCGAAACAATTCGTACCGATTAGTTTCACCGAGGCGGAGAAGAAGCTGGAAACCTAAATATCGTCTTACACTTCGCACAAGACTGAGGAGCTTGTATATAATATTACATTTAACGCAGTACATACGTTTGATATAAACGAAGATTACGGATTTATCGAGAGGGAATATTCAGTTTATTTTACTCACGACCGAATAAACGTTCGGCGTCTCCGTTTGACGTGTGAATCGTTCGAACTGTTTTTCTAAACACAAGAAAGCAAGGATTTGCTCGCTGCATCCGAGCAAAACGAAAGGAAAAACCAAAGGAAAAGAAATATCTCCTATTTTTCAGCAGCCAAACAGATTCGAAACACGAGAATTTAAAACGTAAAAAAAAACAAAACACGCCCGATCCAGTGGACCAAAAACGATTCACCGCCTGAATTCTACGTTTTCCGTTTTGTTTTTATGCCGTTTGCTCCCTTTAGCGTTCTGATAGAGCAGAGTAAGATGATAGAATGTCGGATTGGCCGGTTTCGAGACAGTATCGGGACTAATCTTGTGGCTATAATTAACAAGAAGCGCTGAATAAATCGTAACCGCCCCACCCCCGATCGATTCATAGTGATCGCTTACCGACCGAAAGAAAAAACAGCGGATGAGCGAATAATAATACGTTAATATCGCGATTTTACGAAGACGTATCGTTTTTGTTCACTGTAAGATTCTTATCTCGTTCGACAATAATCGTTGCTCGAGATGCGAACCCGTCTTGTACACAGGAAGAACGCTTGCGCGTCTCCGAATCGCGGGAACGTCATATTGCGATACATTGTTTAAAATAAAGAAAAAGATAAAATAAGAAACGAAAGAATTGGGGGTTTGCGATAGCTCCTATAACCGAGTGGTCCGTGATGTCCGACCTGAAACGGTAGTAAACGAATTAAGACGAATTGTACCGCAAGAAAATCCGCTTATGAGTTACATTTACATTTACAATCCAGATATCCATTACGATAACGTTAAATAGGATTAAGATGAATGTCACAAGTAATGTAAACTGAGAATAATGAGATGAAATAAACGAGACGATGATTCAAATACAAACAGAGGTATATATTTTCTGGCGTGTTGTTCTATGATTTACAGGGTTGGTTTACAGATTTTTGGTTGTTTTACAGATTTTTCTTTCGTGTTCAAGCGTACAAAATATCGTTCTGGCAGTGTTTGAACTTCGACGTGCTGTGATACGAACAATATTTATTTATCTATGCTACTTCGTGATGACCTGAACTTTCATCTTTTTGTTCGGTGATGGAAAGTTTCATATGTCAAAGATGTTTGTAAAAGATACGTAATGAATTTAGGGTATGAAAGTTTATTCATTTTTTGGGAAACTTGTTTAATTTATTAGTTCTTTCTTTATTCTTATTATAAAGTAAATTGTTGTATATAAATATTGTTTGAAAAACACCACATCCGTTTAGTATTTAATTTAGAGAAACGATATTTCACTTGCGATAAGGTTTGTTTGGACGCAATCACAACAATCCTTGATTAAGCATTCAATAGAAAAAATTAAGGTATTATTCGAACCAAGAAGTCCTTGATAATATTAAAAATACAGTCGGAATCTCTACAAATTCCAATTCCACAATGTGGTATCACAAACGCATTTTCATTTCTTTATGTCTCTTTATATTCTTATATTTTAATACTGTTGCAACATGCAATTAATTTCCACGAATTGCTTGTTCCAGTAAATATGCATCACAATCATCACTCAAACATATCGAATATAAAATTGTACGATGTTTACTTTACATCAGAGGGATTTAATACTCTCAAAAGAATTCTTTAGAATTACCTAATAATTTACTATATCGCTGTAATAATATAATGCACAAATTGTGGAGATTGTTGCTATGGAACTCAGCAATAAAATAGCAACAATACAACACTTGACGAGAGCAAACTAAAAATTTCGTTTCACTCGACAGGTCCTCGATAAATGCTCGCCACAAGTCCCGTGCTGAGAGCATTTAACGGGGAAATAATTTTTAAGCCAGCACTGCAATTGAGAAATCTTTCGATGTTCTCAGGATTTCCGGAATCTTCCAAGAACCTCCTATATCGAAGACTAGAGATAATTCAAATATCAGAGTGTAAACAGAGTGTAACATAATTTTCCGAACTTACAGTACTATTACTTGTTTAAAATCGTTTCCTTACGAAATAATACGCTGATTACAATAATTGCACAAACTCTGGAAACTGTTCTAACACGCCCTCGTCAAGATGACAAACGGATCGACGTGAAAATAATTCAGTTATTAACAATGTAATATAACAAATATTAACGTTGTAACATATATCGATGATCCTAAGCAAGATAGATACACAAAGTGTGATAACACAGGTGAACATAATAACGTTATATACGTAATTCTTTACTTCTACATATGTACAGGATGTTTGGCTACTGGTGTAAAGAAACATTAAGGAGTAATTCTATATATAAAAATAAAACGAAAATCAAAAATGACGAAATTGTGTAGGAAGATTTGTTTTCTAGTTATTAACGATTAAAAATTGGGGTTAGGAACGCCTCAAACTAGACAATCTGCGTACAAGCTGTACATGCACGGCACGCAGTCACGGCGCGTAAATACGTACACAAGCAACCTATGGAAAAAAAATGTGCCCTTCGTATATACCCAAACATCTGATACGTAAATACCTTTCCCTTGATACAATTCCAACATCTGCAGGTCAATCGCGGCTATTGACGACCCTACAGAAAAAAAGCAGGTAGGACTATATCCACTCTTTGTTTACACAGTTTTATTACCTTTCTGTCCTTTACCAGAGATTCGAGTAACGCTTCCTTAGTTCAGTCGCGGTCATCAACGCGAAAACATCTAGTCGCCGCGAAACAGTTCTTAAATGTTTTTATCATATTGATTTAATTTGTTTATCATAGTGACTTTTTAATTGAAGTTAGTTTATTTAATGTCTATTCTGTGTGAAATGTCCGGCAACGATTCGTGTGTGCTTTTTTATAAAATATCGCAGGAAGATAACAGAGGTTCTGGTGCAGGCGTTATACATCACTCCTTCAGCTATAAGGTAGAAGTGCATTTTTTTAGACGACGCCAATGCATACGTTAGTAGTGTCGTGTCTCCTACGTTTACCACTTGTACGCAGATTGCCTGGTTTCAGGCGTTTACGTGCCAAATATTCAACTGTTAATAACTCGAAAACAAAGCTTCGAACACAATTTCGTCATTCTTGATTTTCCTATTACTTTCACGCGTAGAATCACCCCTTCAAGTTTCGGACACCAGTGAATATCCTGTACTTTGTATAACCATTTCACTTTAGTACCTATGGTCAAGACATACGTTTAAAAAAATCGCTAGAAATTCGGCGTGTTAATTTCTTAAGCCGTGTGTATACGGAACGGTGCACCGTCAATCGAAAGACCGTGGTCTGGCTCACGTGTGAATATGATTCTTTTTTACTTAATGTTAATCGAAATTTAAAAAGTGGCCGACGCGTCATCGCGTGTTCCCCCGAACGAAGCATTAGAAATGGAAGCACCTACACTCTTTTTCTATGTACATTTGTCAGCTATACTTCTATGTACATGTGCACACCTTTATATTGGTTGCTGATAAAGAGAGAGACAGAGACGAGCAAAAATGCTGTTTCGTTAATTTCCATGCGAATACGCTTACGGCCGCCGAGCTGCACGGTAAAACGCGATCATTTCGTCGTTCTTTGTGCCGCAAGAAGAGACGATCGTAAACTCACGACTTGTATATACCGAGGAGAACCCCGTTGATTACAATATCCGGAAGACTAGAGGACGAATTCGACTGTGTGTACGGATCACAATGGAAACTTAATACCGGATAATGGCCCAGAGTGTTTGGATGCTCCTGCTGGGCACCCTCTGTGTCCTTGCATGTGCTGAAACAAAGACATTAAGTGAGGTTCATCGTAAATAATATAAGGATATCAATTTTTGTTGATAGAGAGGATAATAAGATGATAGTTGAAAGCGTTAATCATTCCGTATTCGAATATTCTATGACTCTGTGTATCAGTGATTCAAGGAATAGATTCTTGTCGATGTAATGCCTACCAAGAAGAATATAAACTAAGGAATACAGGGTGATACAAAAAAAGGGTTCATAATTTTTAGGGTAGATAGTACTCGCCAAATGATGAAAAGACATCCTGCTAAACAAACCAGATAGTTGCCGAAGCGATAAAGTCAGTCGTTTTAACCAAAACAAAAAATTGTTTATAATATTGAAAATATTAATTTTTCTACTCACGTTTATCAGGACTTTTTTCCATCATTTGGCAAGTACTATCTACCCCGGAAATTATGAACCCTTTTCTTCTTTCACCCTGTATTTACGAGCGTTCGATGTCGTGAGTGAGTCACTTCGCGACATATTAAATGTGAACAGAAGAATTGATTTAGAAGTAGGTAGATAGTTCAAGGTTGTAAAACAACAGGCATTATGAGCTACGGAAGGCATATTTAAAAGTGTACGTCGATCGATGATCCGTCAATGTGAGTTTTGTATCGAAATGGAAAAAAAACATACGGAACATCTGTGCCAAATCTGAAAAACTTTTACATTCTTCTTTGAAGATATTGATTTTAGGACCTGTGTCAATTAAACGTTTTTTTACTTCACTCGGTTAGTACTATAAACACCTAAAATCTTAGACCCTTTTTTTGGAACACCTTTATATGAGGAAGAACATATGAGAAATCGTGTATTCTATTGTCTAAACATAAATTCAAATCGTCCCTTTATTAACTCTAATAAATGCAAATTCTACTATAATTCAAGCAAAAGAATTTACAAGTACCAATCAATCCCACTTTTATAAAAGATGTTTTTTAACACGATAGTTTACGTTCACAGTTCAAATTTGTTACTTTACAGTTCTATTTGGTAATATGTATGTTGTTATGTAACGATCAATATCAGACCACAGGTGTTCTGTTATCTAAATAGTTGCTCTATTATTTCAGATAACTGAAATATCAATGAAGGTCTTACCAAGTTTTTAAATTGTTTTACTTCCTTGTACCGCAAGATCGTGGATTCACTGTTGTCAGGTACTTTTTTTTTGTCTTATTTTTCACGTATCGCTAACCACGCGAAACGTACGGTATATCCGATACAGCATCGTAGAAAGGCAGTCGCGTATTTTACAAATACTGTTGCACGAACACATACCTTTTGTATGACGCGACGGTGGCTCGACTTTCTATACCCAGGAAATTGAGAACCTGTTGCTTCGTCGCTGAAAGACGTAGCATTTTTTTAATGTACAGCTCCAATGCCGCCCGTCTTTGCTCGAGCACCTTTGGCTGGCAGTTTCTTACCCTCTTCGGTGGAAACGGAGCGACCACCGCGTTCTCCTTTTTCAACTGCAAGTACAAATTAATATAAATGGTATTTCACCCACAATTTCACAATTTGGAGGAACAATATGCAGTGTGACGCGTTATACCTGGTGCCCGATTTATGGATTAGCCCTCGATATTTGAAAATCATGAGAAAAAAAATTAAACTTGCATAGGTATGTCACTACCAGGTGTGAACAACACCTGTATACAGGGTGGGGCAATAACTATTAGCACCTCAGATATCTTCAAAACTACGAGGTGCACAGAAATATTTGTTACCTAATGTGGTAACAAATTACTATGATCTTATGTAATAGGTCGTTGAACTCGTTTTAACCTTCCAAGTAAATATCCAAAGTACCTCCACCTGCAAAAAAATTATTAGCGCCATCGGATGGCTCTCTTCGTACTGTGCAATTTTGGTAAAATAAATATTTCTGTGAACCTTATAGTTTCGAAGATATCAAAGGTGGTAATAGTTATTGCCCCACCCTGTACCCTCACGAGCAAACTCGGCTTCCTGTGTACCTGAAATAAATTTACAAAGTTGTACGAGGCCTTTTCCCTACGTTACTTTTTCCCCTAATGGAACGGTAACAAGATTGGTGGTAGAATGTCAGCAAGCATGCGTTGAAATGCAAGCCGGTTATTTTCAGCACTTTCCGTGATCGTAATCAGATACCAATTGACAGAACGTAAAAGTGGCTGTCTTTTAAACAATTAAAAATTTTTCTTCTTTTTTTCAATATTCTCAAGTGCTGAATCAATCCCTCAAATGATATCCACGTATTATGGTATATTCTATACGAGGTAATAAGAAAGAAGGGTTTGAGACTTTAAGGGCTTATGGTACTCACCGAAAGGAGTAAAAAATGTTTAATCGATATGGGTCCTAAAATCAACCCTTTCGATGTAAAATTAGCTTTTATATTTACGAGCATTCGATATCGTGAGTCCCTTCGCAGACGTATATTGAATGTAAACAGAAAAATTGGTTTAACAGTACATTGAATTATAAGAATATTAGCGAACAATATTAACAATACCGTAAGTTTTTTTTTAGTAAAAAACGCAGCGTCCACGTGTATCTCACGATCGCAATGGAACCACTCAAATCACGTTTCTTTACGACGGACACACTTATTAAAATTTCTATTAAACTGCTGCCATGTATTGAACAGCGGGCTGTAGCATTTTGTACGGAAATACTGTACTAATTTAAATAATTTTTTGTATAAGTAATTTATTATATAACTTTTTACATTAAATAAAAAATAAACGTACTGAGCAGATATCGGGACGTGCTTAGAAATACGAACGTAAATTCATATTCCTGTGACGCGTCTTCAAAAAAAGTTACGATTAAACGGAAACTTATTTCTTCTGTTAAATGTCTTCGCAGACTGAGAAGTATTGAACATTCCTGAAGCTTTCAAAATTTTCGTAAAGTGTACCGTTCAGTCATTATTCGAGGTGATCAACCCCGAGGTTATCACATCTGTATAAGCGAAGAAATGAGTTAATTTATAGATTTGTATATTTGCAAAAGTTTTTCATGTTTAACAATCCGACAGAAGTAGATATACCTTTAACGTCGGTATCTTTAGTGTGAAATCTCATGTAGGCGGACAGAAGAGTATAAGTCAGAATTATTACTTTTTGCAGAGAAGCACTTATAATATTAAATATTAATTAGTTTAAGTTTAATATTAAATATTAAATATTATAAGTATTGATTAGCTTAAGTTTAATACTAAATGTTAAATATTATAAGTGCTTCTCTGAAAAACTAATAATTCTGACTTATACACTTCCTCCCGCCCACCAGAGAGGTATCAAGATATGTATAGTGCAACTTACAATAATTTGAAACATAATCACGACAAAGGAACCGTTGTACGCAAATGAAACTGATCACGCAATTAATATTTTACTCCACTCGCAAATCCGGAACGATTCGGACGCGATTCAATGGACACGAAAATACTGACTACTGCATATGCATGTTTTACAAATCGTTTTATCGTGAGTCAATTTCCAAGGGAACACTACGTAAATCGTGTATCGTTGGGACGGTGATGAAGCTCACTATTGATATGACTAATCACGCCTATATTTAAAAAAAATATTGCATAGCGCACATTACAGGAACAAATTAACGTGATCGTTTTACTGCTGTAAAATCATTATCTATTTGCAGAAATATTTTCGTAATAGTACAAGAAATATTAATTTACCTATGATTAAGTAGGTGGTAACACTTATTTGCACAATAATCAGACGGTAATTTTGTGTAAAAACTATGCATTACTACGAGCAGAAAATCGTCGATTATACCGAAACTACTCTTTAACGCAGTTAAACAATTTTGTGTAAGTTTAGTGGTTAAAATTACCGTGGAAGCCATAATACTCTTTTCTTTAAAGCGAAAAAAAAACAAATTATAGTAGAAAATAATTTAGTAAATTAATCATATACGTAGTATTATACAATTATTATTATTAGATTATGTTTATTCTAATTCATATTTTCATAAATTAACGTATCTTGAAATCTATTTTAATGCAAGTATATAGATTACGAAGTAGAAAATGAATATTCTTTTACATTCGTCCATAATTTTTTTTTATAAAATGACTAATTTCTTTAAGAAATATATGCGAATGTACCTTGCAAGAATTGTAATACGTGTCTATTAATATAATATTATAAGAAAGTACCTATTACATCCTATAACATCTATTTTAAAAGGTAGTCACAACCTGACCCAGTTTTTCGAGTCACATATAGATGTATAGAATCGTCTGCATACAAACGTCCTCGCGGTAAATGGTACGACCACGAAATAACTAATTATACGTGCAGAAGATACATTAAAGAAATATTATGGATTAGATAACACGAAAAATGAAATGTGAATGTTACACAACGATAGTGTATGGATTCAACTATTTTTTCTTGATATCTTATATTTTCATTTTTGCGATACAATTCAATCCGTTCGCGTGGGGCACCTTGTATACATAGGACAAGCGTGAAAATCTCAACTCCGGTAAACACAATTCACAATACAAACAGGTGTACACAGACGTTGCGTAACGCATGCGTGTTGTTCACTGACTCGTAGCGTAGTACACGCGTCTCTCCGTGTACATTAATCTGGATCACACATTTATTCATGCGAACGAAACTGAATGGGAAAAGAAATAGAATACGATGTGTCGCTGTCCTTGTTCCGTGCACCGAAAAAAAGCTGTCGAGAAGGATGGAAGTATCTCTATCACGCTCCCTCTTCTTCCGCGACACGAGACTCGTGACAAGGATTCTGTTTCAACTTGTATGACTATTCTTAGTACAATATTCGTCAATATATGAAATAAATGCCACCAGGTTTTCGACATTATCGTACTGTTATCATATATAATTTACTTTAAAAACAAGGTACAGTTGGATTCGATCATTAAGAAAAAGAACCGACGTTAGGATGAAAGAACAAAAGTTGAGATTCCGAACGTGCAACGCGAGATATGTATGTATTCGACGTTTGTCTGACTGTAAAGAATCCTAATTGCTGTGCAAGGAGTAGTAGAGTTTCAATATGAATTATGAGAAAACGTACCGTGCGATGTAACGCGCTGAATTCGCTGTATCTTCTCTCGATGAAGTGTTGAGTGCCTCTTTCCGACTCCAATACTTCAATACAGTAAACATAGTAGGGCTTGCCGTGTGACACCTCGGCCAAACGGTATCTGCTGATGAAAACTTGATACATTGCATAGCTAGCAATTTTCTGGGGTCTTGAAACACGCACGATAAACTGATATCACAGTGCCGGAACGAAACCGTATGAAAAATAAGAACGCTTTGATCGGTCTACTTTTGATCTATAGGTACTGGCGCCTGTCAAAACAGTCAGCAATCTTATGTATTTGTGCGTATGCCAGTATGCCACTGCGTTGCCAACTTCACCACTAGAAAAAAAATGGATGAAGAGCAAGTACCAACTATTTAAACGTATTTTGTACACGCAGCCATTAAAATAATTGTCAATTTCACTTTACAACTTGGAAATCGCCAACAGCGATAAGAATATTCTCTTAAGTCCTTATGTGTATTTAATAGTGAATAATATAGATTGAAAAATATCGAAAACTCATGTAATTTTATTTCGAATGGTATCGAATTTTCTATTGAACTTCTATGAATGAATATTGTGCGTGAACAAACGCGATTTGTAACAGTTTTGAAATTAAATTTAGTTTTTTATACGTAATGATAAATCTGAGGAATGACATGAGACGTCATCTACGTTAACACGGTCAAATTACTAACCAACCAGTACCAAAGTTTTACCGTAAGATGGCACTTAGTGTAGGAGTACACCCACGAGCAAACTCGGCTTCCATTAGGGGAAAAAGTGGCGTAAGAGAAACGCCTCCTACCACTTGGTAAATTTATTTCAAGTACCGGAATAAATGTTAAATTGAATGTTAATTTGACATAAATTTCAATAATTCCCGAGACCAAGTAATAGAAGGCCCTTCTCCTGCACTGCTTTTTCCCCTAGCGAGAGCCGGCTTTGCTCGCGCGAGGGTACAATATGTGATGAAATTCTGTAGTGTAGAGCGAAAATAACGCTATCTAGCGTACCTATAGCGAATCGACGTGTTATCATTGAATCAGAATCTGATGAAACCATTTTATTGGAATATTTGTATATCTTTCAATCATTATTTGTATGAAAACACGCGTTTTACGAAATTGCTGTATTCTGTAACGAAGTAAATAGTAAATCAGAATTTATAAACTTACCATAATAAGTGATTTACGTTATTTGAGTAAACGAATAGAATTAAAAAATCATTGTTTCCTCGTACGAAATCTGTTTATGTTTTCACTTTCGTAAAAATTGAATATGTTGCGCAGCCTATATAACGTTTTTCGTGTATTAAGTTTCGAATCTTGCTATTCCATATTGATGGAATAAAAATAGCATAGCATGTATAGTAGACTGCGGGGTCTTATGGTAGGGATGAGGCTTGCAGTAGAGTGAGAGGATAATACATGGAGTCACAGACTTCTCTTTCTAATGAGGCTGGGTGGAGGATTCTGCTACGGCTGTGTGGAGGCACTACATGCGTGCAGCATTCCTTCTCCTCATCGCCCTCCAGTCGCTTTCTCCCTTCCCTCTGCGATGTGCGAGCGAGAGAGGAATGACTCCATCTCTACTTCTGTCCTTCGGTCTCGCTTCATCCCTAGCATAAGACCGCGAAATCTATCATATATTATATATGCTATGAAAAATAGTCATTTGTGTACAGTGGTGCATGTGGTGTGGTAGTGGGGTCGTGGTGTATGCTGGTGTACTGAATAGTATTATTGAAGTGTGCTGTGCGCGGGTATCTTTGTAACATTGAAGCGGAAACCAGAATCGAGGAAACAGAAATGACATTTATTTTAAGGCCTTCTTCATGGAAATACATAATAAAAAGAGCACTCTTGCCAGTGAATCAGTTAACGAGTACACCAAACTTCGAATTCCATACGTCAAAGTGTAAATATATTGTCTTTTATGAAATATCTGTATGGAAGTCACTAAACACGATGTAAACAAATGATTTGAACGTGTAATGATGTAAGTCGGCACTGTAAAATATTTATCTATATTGAAAAACTTTCAGATTCTTTTCACGGTGAATATGAAATGCAAGATCCGAAATCGGAAGCTGATGTGTAGGTAAAATTAGTATAATCTGCGAACTACTGCAAATATGTTATATAAAATCATTAATTTACTCAAATACGATTTCATATTATCTCTTTTTTAGTGTTAATATAACGTTTATTGATAAGACAGGAAAAAGGATACCTGTTAAAGGAAAAGTAGGAGATAATGTATTATACTTAGCTCATAGATATGGAATTGAAATGGAAGGAGCTTGTGAAGCATCTCTTGCGTGTACCACTTGTCATGTATATGTCCATAACAATTATACAGATAAATTGTCAGTAGCCGAAGAAAAAGAAGAAGATCTGTTAGATTTAGCACCTTTTTTAAAAGAGAATTCTAGATTAGGTAATCTAAAATAAGTTAAAAATACTGGATAATTAGACTGCGGATTTTTATGCAGAATGCTAATTTCTAAAGTAATTTATGAAGACAGGAGAAAATATCAGAAATTATTTTTCCTGTTAAGTATCTTACTGGGTTCACAAGAAAATATAAACCTTGTTGGATCCAATGAAAGTTTAGTCTTTTATTGTATTTCACAGAGCCCTATATGCTGTAAATGCATAAAATCCGCAGTGTTACTGATAATAAACACAATCACGGTAGAATATTAAAACATATCCTATTATTTTTAGGTTGTCAAATTATATTAACAAAAGACCTAGATGGCATAGAATTGGAATTGCCACAAGCAACAAGAAATTTCTATGTAGATGGTCATACACCAGCTCCACATTAACATATACCTTATCGTGTATTTAAAATAATGTGTAAATATTTTGTTTATATCGCTAACAAAGTACTTGTATTTTATTGTGTATAAATCAAAAGTTATATACTTAAATGTTTTTACTAACCAGTAAGGAAGAATAAAATTACATTTTTCAGAAAGTACTTTAATGTATTTCATAAACTTTTAGAGCAACAAACTTAGTTTATATGACATGTTGTCATGGTACAATATATTTATTTCTTATACATTTGGATTATGATACATATCTTTAATTACAATGATACAAGATTTAAACATTTATGACATAATGAATCTGTAAATTAAAATCATACTTATTAATCTTGCAGCATTTACAGTATTAGTGAAAATACCTTATAAGTTTCTGTTATAAACCATTTGTATTTGAGCACTGCCAATAATGTAAAAATATTTTTCACTTCTGGCAGGTGCTTTTATGTTTTCCCAGTTTGACAAATTTTCAGATTTAGATTTTGTGTATACATATTTTAGAAATGTGCATACATTCCTGTGTTAATCAGTTCGTATACGCGTATGCAAACCTGCAGTTTTAATTTTGCATATATATCTGTTTCTGTGTCGATAATTATTATCACCAACATTGTCATAATATTATCATACAAACTATATTTATATTTTTCTGTTCATTATTGATCACTATAATTATAGACACGTTGTAACATCTCAGATCAATCATACTATGCACACATACTTTGTAATTAAAAGAATTTAAATAGAAGTACATTCATACAGTCACACTATGTCGTACAAAACTACACCTGTGAAGATGATTACATGTATATTTCTCATTTGGTATGAGTCATCACAACGGACTTATTGAAAAAATAACTTTTGTACTTATTTGTAACTAAATAACTATGATATTTAATTAAATATCATACGAAAAGAAACTGTCTATGTTAAAAGTCTCAGTGGAATACTTTGAATCGATAAACGTAGATAATTTGTTTAATATCAAAATTAAACTATTAATTTCTATGGCAGTAAACAAGTGAATATTTACATAGTTGACAAATTTTTAAATAAAGTTCTTCCAAATTCTGCATACTTATGGTTTCATAAGTTTGTATAGAATTCTTTTGTAAAAATACTGCTTTAGCGGCATTAGATTCATAATGAATGCATATTAAATTAGTTTTTACATACACAGAAAGCCAAATCATATTATTTTCATGTAGTGTCTCCCCTAAGCTCATTAAGTAAAAGTGCAAATATAATTGTTAAGTATGCTAGCATTTATATTGTAATTAAAGACAACATATTGTAATCTTGTAATATAATAGGAGTTACTTGTGAAAACAATTGTAATAGATTCTACTAGATTTATTACAGCTAAGAATATTTATTCAAAGAAAAGACAAGTACAGCTGCAAAAGAGAATATGAAGTCGGATATATTAATTTTTATCTAAAGTTGCCATTTCATTTTAACAAATGTAATTATATGTATATTTAAATTCTTAAAGACAAAATTCTATTAATACTATTTTACAACAATTACTTGCACATACACATTAAAAAAAAGGTTTTGAGCTTAGGGAGATAAATAGTACAATATTATTAAATGTGTTCTTGAAGTAACCAACTTCCAAAAATAGGCATAAAATTGGGTATGCTAGTTTGAAGCACTTAACTATGTCACAGAACTTCAAGAAACGAGTCTTAAGGAATCTAAAAGTATTATTTTAAAATGAAAATAAAAAGAAAAGGAAATAATTAAAATTAAATATATAATACACTTATACGTGAAATATTCTAGAGTTTTCAAAGAAATTACATCCTTTGTACAGATTTATAAAATCTATACGTACATCGTGTAAAATTTCGAGCACAAAAATTTTGATACAAAAAAAAATTGTTCCAATATAAAATATACTAAAAATACATTACTATCATTCGACTAGAAACACGAGACATAACAAAACTTACTGAACAGTAATATTGATTTGTTGTTTCCCACCATATTTATGTACGTTTCTAAAATATTTTTGCTTCTTCTCTTTAGAAACTAAATTTCTGCAGGAAGATTAGAGATTTAATGAATCAAGCCATACAGTCATTAATTTACTCTGCTATTCCAAAGCTGCATCTGACTTGCTAATCTATTCATTACAAATTGTATCTTAAAAATAATGTAAAAACTTTCTACAACATTTATAACATGATCATTGGGTCCTCCACCATGTCATTCTAAAAGCTTTGAAAATTGTAATCAAATTTCCTGCATTAATATTTGTGATCACGTACACCGAGCAAAAAAACAACTATGCTCACATAGTACATTCAATTATTCGTAACATTTTGATAAATTCAGATTTAACATCATTTTAATTAAAATGTAAATATAAAATTCAGATCCTTCAAGTGCATAAAACTCTAAAACCATGTATTATGGTTTGTAAAACTGGTAATAAAAAATATACAATAAGATCAATGGGAGAAGCATGTAACCAATACTTTAAAAATGATTGACCAAATTTCTGAATTCTGTCAGAGTTTCTTGTGTCTCCTGAAAGATTTATCTGTCGTATATATAGCTATAATGGCCAGCACAAATTTGCATCAAATTTGAACCCGAGCAGTGAGCTTAGTTGAGTCCACATCTACATCTCAAAATGATAACTTAGGGAAATTGATGTCTCAAATGTGTGTGAAGCTTGAGAGTCTATGTGTAGAAATAAAGAAAATGAAGAAAAAATTGAACAATATGACTACATATCGACGATCGACCACTGACCAGTCTATGCCACTGTATGACACAGTTACAACACAACAACAATATCCGCTTGCCACTAAATTCCCTATTCCAGCTTCCCGCTACATGTAATATACAACAATACACAATATTTAACATCGTAATAACCCCGATTAACAATCTCAAAATGAAAATTTCTCTCCTAATCAACTCAAGATTTCAATTTAAAAGATGATATCATACAATAAGATCAATAATAAGCAGAATTATTGCTAAAAACCAACTGCATCCCCCTTTCAAAAGCATCTTAATTTCCTAAACATTCAAATGGTGTGCATATCATTCAAGAGTTATAGAATACATAGAATGAAACGAACTACCTACTAGTTACTAGTAAAATTATAAAAATAATTAAGAGTACACATAGATGTAAATTAGAACTTTTAACAATGCCAATACGTATGTTACAGGACTATAATACATTATAAAATAGAGATTTAGATTTTCAAACAATCCACAGCATTCTATAAAAAGCAAAAGAGTGAAGTGTGCATAAGTTTTTCCTTCAACATAGATACATGTTTACAATATTATAAAACTCATTTTATCATTCAAGCTGAAAATATATTCCAATGAGTAATAAGCCTCAAACTAATAATACATGTGAATGAAGTTTCTTGAACTTATCTTCATTTTGCATGAAGTAACGATAAGATTGATAGTACTAAAAGTACCATGCTGGTAAATACTGATATTATTTAGCATTTAACATTACGCCAACATAGTAGCATAAGAAATTCCATTTAACGGATAAATGACTATATAAATATTAATAATATAATAAAAATACAAAGAGCACGATATAAGGAATCTTAAAAACAATGTTACGCTTGATAAAAAAAAATTATTTGCTATAGACATTTACTGTCATTCCTGAATGACTGCATATGATTTCTTTTAACAACATGATACAACTTTTAACATTAATTTTGATGCTTATTTGTGAAAGTGCAACTAACTTTTGACAACCAGTTTGTGCTAATTACTGAAATAGATTAAAAACCTTTACTATTTCCTGTCAAATACCTAAAGCTCAAAACATAAATATACACTTTGTTTTTAATTTGTAATTCAAGTAACTTTAACTCATGTAGTTCTTAAACAATTATATGAGAAAGTATATTACACATGTTGTCGGCACTGGATATAAATATGAAAATATAAAAAGTTCCATTTAACAAGAACGAAAAAGAGTCCAAGTAACATATATTATAGTGATAAAGTTTCATCACTTGAAATTTCAGAAAAAATGCTCAAAATAAATAAATAATGCCTTGAATTAATTATAAGAAATTTAAGAATTCTGTGATCATATAGTACGGAGTTTTGTTTTACTAGTTTCATTGTGAAGAGCATCACACAAGGCAAAAACTAGATTTAAAACTAGGAATACAAAATTTCGTGTGTCTCGTTTCTTGACTGAATTCTCACAATGTGCACCATGTATCACAAATAGTTGGTCAGTCCAAATACTGTTCTTATGGACCAATCATTCAGAGTATATGTTAAACAACGTCCATTCTCAAATTGTTTAATGTACAGATGTGACTAAATAATGCCTTTTGCTAATAAAATATACAAAATGTATGGAATATACATGGTATTAGGACTAAATGCGATAATTTGTGCTCGTATCTTTTTCTTGTTTTCCCTTCCTTTCATTTTTTTCGAAACAAGTTACTTCAGAGATGACGCTGATGGATAAGTGCATGTACTGGAAGCTGTCTGCCCCTTTGATACCTCTGACAACGACCCATACTCAAATCATGACATTCATACACGTTGGCCACAGCACTACGTGAAGAAACGTTGGCCAATTCGACCGAATATGGAGCAGAGATATCAAAGGGTACCTCCAGTTATTCCATCGGATGGTGACGCCCTCCGCACATTCCACAGGACGTGCCACACCAATGAACAGCTCTGAGTGGAGGATAAATCCACAAGCAAGGAACGATCAGTGACAATAATGCCAAACCAAACCACCTGCGTCCACATCCTTCTTCTGTGCTACAACTGCACAATTCAATGTTCGTTTGTAATGTATTCTTAATTATTTACCAGGAACATTCCCAAGGAATAAGCAGTAATAATTTAATTACTCATTCATTTCCGAATACATTATAAATATCAAGAAACCTACTTTTTAAACTCTTTACTATAAAGCTTAAAAGATAACTCCGATGAATGAAGCAAAACTAATAGAAGAATGAATTTGCATTTGTGTACTCACCTGCAAGGATTCTGGGAGAAATCGCCTTCAGCATCACTCATACAGTGGTATAACATGCCCTGAGCACACGACAGACACGAAATTTTTGCGATTCCACGTTTAACTGGATCAGGAGCGAATTCACAAGATCCTCGAGGATTATGCTGTTCTGTATACAACTCTTGGCAATGCTTACATTGTAATTGAACATTACGTTTCATAGTATTTTTTGTGGGTTGAGATACTATAATATCTGGTTTCTTCAAAGAACCACCAGTATTATGTCTATCTAACCGGTCTCCTTTATGATCATCGATATTAGGATATAAATATTCGTGATTAAGCGGTGTGAGCTGCACATACGGATAGTTATCCGATCCAATATCTGCAGTCGATGCCAAAGGATGTTGAGATGGCGGTACTTTTATATTTGATCCACCAATATAATGGATAGGTTTATGTGAATCGGGAAGATCTGAACACTGGGAATGATAATTGGGCACTCGAACTATGCCATGAGATGTGTCTGATGACGGATGTGGCTTCGGTGGTTCCGCAGGCAAGTTCCAATTCTACAAATTATATTCAAATTTGTTTATATTGTTACAACATATTTACTTTTATTTAATACATACCATAAAAACATCCTCATCGCCAGCATCTAATGAATTACCGCACAATGTTGAATTAGCCAACCCTACATCACAAATGAATTTTATTAGATAATATGTCAAATAAAACTTTCATGATTCATTGATTCAGCAAATTCTGAATACATGCTGGCATTCTTACCATTTGCACATTCCATAGAAAGTAGCAGTAAAATAGTAAATAAATTAATGCAATTTAAAATGAAATTAATTCACAATCAGACCTGTGTACACTATTGTGGTTGAATCTAATGAATCAAATGACATAACTAAAGAAATAAACTACCTTCTAATAATTCTTCAACAGCTGTACAAACACCTTTATCAAAAGCTCTTGCATCAGCAGCTGTTTGAAATGTCAGACCAAATTTTTTCTCTCCTGTCTTCCAGTGATGAAAAGTTGGCATTACCTTGCTATATTCAAAATCTTTTTTAATTGTACAGCTAAGAACAACCTATAAAAAAAAATGTTATGTCAAAATGAATATGACGACTAACAGTAGAATATATTCAAATTAATAATAAATATGTCTATTACTGCTTGATCAGTGATTCGTTTCCCATAAATAAGATACTCATGCCTCTTCTTGGTTGCACCAGGTGGGGAACTGCTAGAAGATCCATGACTTTGGGTTGTAGTGACAGCTGTAGTTGATACAAATTGTGTAGAGTTTGTAGTAGAAGATATGACAGTCGAAGTAGTAATACCAGATCCATTGGTATTATTGGACTGATGCCCACCTGAAGAAGTAGCTCTTCTTCTAACCGAAACATTTGCTAAACCACCCCCACCTAAAGGAACCCAACCACCGGAACTATCATCCCTTGTCATTACCTGGGCACGAACCCTCACCAGATAGTTACCACTAAAAATGAAAATTGAAAAAGTTAATACGGTGAATTAACAAATATTGATATTATATTGTATCTTTTAAAAAACTAACATTCTGTTTAAATTAGTATTAAACTTAGAGGACAAAAGTGGAAGGTAATGATGCATACTGTTAGTCAATGCGAAAACTAATGTACTACCTTTTTTATCGTAAAGAAAATCAATAGTATATTTTAACATTAAATGAGTATTACATAGTTGCATAAAGTATATTCGTATCAATCAAAATATTAACAAAACACTGATGTTTAATTAAAGTTTTACACTTGACAAGAAATTGTCAAATCGGCATAGTATCGAAATCGTTTCAGAGATAGTCTGAAAACGCGCAAGACTGATATGTACGTGAAGCCGAAGAATTGCTGTTATACACAACGAGATAGCAGATGTTACGCGCTGACATCGATTTAATGAATGAACGGTCACCCCCACACGAACACAGTAACACACAAATACGCCGGCCAAAATCATACACGTTCACATGTATAAATTTTTACAGACGCCCAACAAGCATGACACATCTCAGAAGGGAAAGAATTATATTTCAGGGGTTGAGGAAAATTCGAGAGATGTAAGAAACGTGATAACCAGTAATAGGTATTGAAAATGTTGACAGTACAAAAGGCAGGACCAGCTCAGACAGAACTGTCAGGTGCCGCGTTACGAACGTGATATCGAAGAGAGGACAGGAGTTAAGCTACAGGCACGGACATTTCAGGTTTCGGAGCAGAACAATCGTCAGAAAGTACCGCGAGCGTTACAGTATTACTTACTCCTCCGACGCCTCTGTCATGGTTCGAGCTGTCGAAGCCTTTATTCAATGCCCACCTTTTCCCACACTTCACCATTTTCGTTGCATTGAAAAGACATTCGGCCGCGATTCTGTTTATGGAGCTTTTTTAGGCTAGTGCCAACCACAGGAAGCGCCCCAGTCCTCCTCCCTCTCGCATTCCCCGTAGAGTTCATCCCCACGCCCGACTCGAACCCACAGTCCACGCCTGCTCCCTTCAGTTTTACCGACCGTCGCTTTCGTTTCGAAAACATCTCTTCCTCTGCATATTCTTCAAAAACTTTTCGTAAATCAACACGCTGATCATGGTACACGTGTGTAACTGTATTCTATGATCTCTTCGGTTGCGATTTTCGGGCCAAATCACAGAAAGTATACCGAGCAAAACTCGCGCATCGACGTTCACCCCGCGAGCCTGACTGACTATACGGTAGCTATCGACTCTTTTACAATGAAAGCTACCGGTCTGCGCAACAGGATTCATTCATCGATGTTACCCATACAGTCTTGTTAATAATTAAGTGTGCTAACGTCTCTATGGCGGACAATGCACGTAACAGTTACTCGTGATCCTGCGCGATTATCTAATTGTATCTGGAACAATTACATATATTTGATTTTCCAATTGAACAGGATTTACGCAATTTAGTACAGAAATTCATTGTACGACTTTACGAAAATGTCGAGTATTAACCAAAAAACATTTGTCTTAAATGATTGTGATATTTCTAATTTTAACTACAGAGTGTTGATTTAAATTAGGATAAGTATTCTGAATAATTCGGTTTTATAACCAATGATATACGTACATTCAAAATATTCTGTAATAATTCATTTATTGTACTTATAATGTGGACATTCCGCCTAAAATCATATCAGGTTTAAATAATCAGGTTTCATACTTTTTATAAGTTATGCATGTAGATATATATAATCTTTTCGCCAATTTCATAAAATCTGTATTTTTTAGATGTTACGTATTTTATTATTTTGTACAATAATTTATTAACGTCGACGCATAATTTATCCGAGTTTCAAGTTCGCGATTAAAATATTGTAATTTATTATTTTATATAGAACAGTATTGACTTTGCTACTTTTATCGGCTTGTGTGTCCTTATTTAAACGTGTCCCTGAACGTGGAATATTCATTTTCCGGTACATTTACTCAGCCGATGTTCATAATTGTGGATCGATGATAACGCAAATTAACGTTAAAAATACTGTACCGTAATTATACATTAGACTAAAAATAAAACTGTGTCATGAAAATTATATCGGTTACTGTCAACATTTTGCACATAAAAATTAAAAGTAACAATTAATAATTTATAAGCGTATTCATCATTAAATGTTCATACAATTGAAGAAACATTATTTATTAAAACGAGATAAAATAGATAAAAGGCAATAACTTATAAAATTTAATTTGTGAGTTTCGAAATTCGAAATTCATAAGAACAAATTTTTAATGAATTCTTGTTTCACAAAATTTAATAAACATCGTGATTAGTAATCGATAAGTGTCGTTTATACAGAAAATTAAAAAACATTTCATTCTTAACCTCCCACGCACAAAAAGCAACATTGATTTATATTTTGATTTGGCTAATAAACCATTTCATACAAACGAGTTTTGCGTATAACGAAGTACTATATAATTTATTTTTTCATAAAAACATAAATAATAAGCAAGTAAAATACTAGGGATGAAGTTGTAGCACATTTGAATATCAAGCAGTATCGGAGACCCACTATTAGGCGAGTTTTGAATGCTAGAACTTTAAAAGCTTAGACATATTCAGACATATTTAGCAGGGACCGACTTTGCAAGTTTCACGACTGTGATAACATGAATATAGTTGATATTTTCGACTCAGAAGTATTTCTTTTATATAATATTTATTAATATTAATGTATTAATATTTCAATCCCTACCATGCTGTATTAACTTCAAAGAATATCTTTTTAAAATAAGCTGAAAATAAGTATTTTCTATTACTAATAAAAAATATCCCCTATATCTTTACTCTTGGTTGGTAAAGGTTTGCTTTCAACAAACGCGTAGCAGCAATATAGGGAACTTCGAAACTAAAACGAAACTTTCTTGTATCTGTATCTGAGAGAAAATAGAAATTTAAATAGTGTCTGTGGTCGAGAAAAAACATTGACATTTCAAAATTTTGCATTAAATTAAAAAGTATGTAATAATCAAAATAAATGGAAGTTACACGGATAGATTCGGTGCAGAAACTTTCAAAGTGGTGTTGAACAAGTTTATTGTTGCAACAATTAATGTAGCAGTAATATGGCTGGAAATTTTTGGCAAAGTTCACATCAGTAAGATATCTTCAGAACAATCAGTTTTTTTAAACTTCGTCTTGTAATATAATCGAGTATTTTATATTTTTAGTCAGCAATGGCTTCTAGATAAACAAGATCTTGTGCGGGAACGGCAACATGATCTTTCAATTTTAACAGAAGAAGAGTATCAGAAACTATTTATCTTTTTCTCGAATCGTAAGTTGAATACTCAATTTATACATAGCACTATTATAAAGATTAGTATGATGTCTTTTTAACTCTAAGTTAAACATATGTATATGGTTGTTTATACCTTTTCTTATTTGTTTCACTTGTTTTAAGAGATACATTTCATAATAATCCTCTATATTTTTTAGTGATCCAAGTATTAGGAGAACAATTGAAGCTTAGACAGCAAGTTATAGCTACAGCAACTGTTTATTTTAAAAGATTTTATGCTCGTAATAGTTTAAAATGTATAGATCCATTATTATTAGCACCTACATCAGTTTTTTTGGCTTCCAAAGTAGAGGAATTTGGAGTTATATCTAATACTAGATTAATTACAACTTGTCAAACTGTGGGTATGTTACTGATTTTATGCAGTAAAAAGGGAAGGGTCCACACATGCAATTAATATGTTTTTTAATATATGTATAACATTTTTTCAGTCAAAAATAAATTTAATTATGCCTACTCACAAGAATTTCCTTATCGTACAAATCATATTTTGGAATGTGAATTTTATCTTTTGGAACATTTAGATTGTTGTTTAATTGTATATCAACCATATCGTCCTTTACTGATACTTATTCAAGATGTGGGTCCAGATGATCAGTTATTGACACTTGCTTGGCGTATAATTAATGATAGTTTGAGAACAGATGTTTGTTTATTGTATCCACCATATCAAATAGCTATTGGTAAGATTATAATATGTGTACTGCAATAATGTATTGAAACAAAACGTGAGTAAAATTTTTGAAAACATTTCTAGGATGTCTACAAATAGCTTGTGTTATATTGCAAAAAGATCTAAAGTCATGGTTTGCTGAACTAAATGCCGATATGGAAAAGATTCAAGAAATTGCTCGTTACATCATTAACTTATATGAATTATGGAAAACATACGATGAAAAGAAAGACATTCAAGGGTTATTAAATAAAATGCCAAAACCAAAAGCAGCACCACAGCGCTGACAAGAAGCTCTATTATCGTCTAATGTTTGGAACCGATAATAAAATATTTTATAACAAATGTGGATAATTTATTCTGTTGGATATGTTTATATTGACAATAAACTGATAAAACTGACAAGGACCATTAATTTTAGAATTTTATTGTATCATTTTTCTTTGAAAATAAAATTCTAATTCAACATTCTCCATTAAAATTTGAGAATATATTGCATATTTTATGCAATTAGTATCAAATATACAAAATGAAGTTTATTGCATTTAAAATAAGATTTAAGATCACAAAATTTATTTACTTTTTATATGAATTGGTGAAATATATAATTAAGCATGTAATGATAATAAAAATTTACTCTCTTTTTCAAAATACTTTCACAGTTCATGCACTTATTCATTTATCAATTCACGACAGTTTGGTCAGAAATACATTAATGTTACTTATTCTAAACTTCTACATAGTATTTCTTATTCTTAGTAACTAAAAATTTATTTCTTACGACGTTTAGTTTTAATTTATGACGATTTGATCGTACAATTTGTAAATTATTTTGTGGTGTCTAATGAATCACTTGTATTGCAAATATTCAACTTGAAAAAATACAATGCAATGTACAGTGAGACTTTACTTATATTTTCTTGGCACATTTTCTTAGAGTTTCGTTTTATTAACTGGAGCCTTTGGAATATCGTTTCCAAAACTTTTTCACGTCGTCATGTCCTGCTTTTGTAACCACCATAGTTCGTTTTCTAAATACAGAAGATATTAAATTTTTATTCTTCATATTCATAGAATTAAAATAAAAAGTACTAATTTCATAAAGTATATTTACCTATCACTTTGCCAAATTAATACTCCAGTAGAAAGAGCATGATCCCTAAGTACTTCAAAATCAGTTTGAGAATGAAACTGACTGTATAAAACTCCTTCACTAAATACAAATCTGTTCCTTTCATTTTCCCATAGTTTAATTTGATCTACAATCGTTGGAGGTAAAACTGGAGGGCCTGCCTCTATCATTTTACTGTGAGCATGTTGCTGTAAATAACTGTTAATATAGCAAGGTGCAAATTAACTGTTTTCTATCATACCTTTGAATGTTATAGAGACAATGATTTTGTGAAACATACCCTACAATTTGAGCTGCTGTAATACCACTTTTTAAAGCTTGACGCACAGAATCTCTAGTCAGTATTGAAACAACTAAATTTGGAAATCTAAAGATCAAAAAATCTAAATAAATATTGCACACATATTTAAAAAAAAACAGTAAACTTTTTTATACATACCTATATAACATTTCACAAAATAGACCAAGTAAGGCAACTTGTAAGTTCGAGTTTGTGTAAGCATATACTCTGTAATTTGTTTCAACAACAATATAACCCTCTTTGTCTGGATCTCTAGAAAGCTGTTTATTTTGTCCAGTAGCAATATTTAATGCTAATCGTGTAGGATAAAATCTAAATATAAATGCAAAATAGAGCAGTATTATTAATATTAAATAACACATATATTGCTAAAAATATTCTCACCTTCCAGCCTTTCGTTTTCTTTGATAAACCAGACCAAATTCTCGTAAATGTTGTAAGAATGTTAGTAAACCCTCAGACATTCCTTCAGTACTATAATCTTTCCCAAGTGTTGAAAAATTTAATTGGAAGAGAAATGTAAGGCACTCAACTAAATCAAGTCCTCTTGCCTCTATTGTGTCTAGATATTGTAAAATGAAATACCATACCTGCAATATGTTCAATAAGAATAAATATTATATACATGATACATTAGTATGATAGCATTCTAACTATCATAGATATATTAAAATCAATTTATTATCTACCTGTGATGCAGTTTCTAATAACAAAAATTGAAAACCAGCTTGAGTAATAACTGGACTTCCATCAGCTTCATCTCGTTTCATTAAGCCAGCATGTAAAAGAATTCTAACTGCATCAGCTGATATGCCTATGAATTATTTGTTAAAATATTTTACATTTATTACATGTGATGCCATAAAATATTTCTCAATTGTATCATTTGTATTTTTTGTCAAATTCAAATAAGTTACCTTCTTGCTGTTGTGACCCAACCATATAATGTAAAACACATTCCCATCTCTCTAGCGCATATGAATCTAAGAATGCCACATCTCTTGGTTTACTATCAGTTTCCATTTGATTTGACATTGTCCATGGTTTTCCACCTCCCAATAAAACAATTTTTAAGTTTTTCTTGAATGTACTGTTCAGAATCCATCCAGGTAATCCACCTGGTATTGATGCTTCCTTCCACACATTCAATTCATTTAATATTGAAACTACCTTTTGATGTTCTTCAAAATAAAGTTTAGAACACCAAGAAGCGATAACTGCTTGAGGTACTGGTTGTTCAACGAACAATAATCGCATAACATAATGTTTAGCTATTACAGGCAATTCACGAAATACAGCCAAACAAATTGGAGGATTATGATAGAGTTTGTTTAACACATCCGGCGGGCGTGATTTTAAATACTCTTGTAGATTTTTGCACTGCAATCCGGTGGGTCGTAACAAATTCTTTCCAGTTATCGTGCTTGACATTATTGTCTATATTTAACATAAAATCATGTGTACATGTAGCAACACTTGCCGCTGTTTTTAATTATAAAATGTACAAAGTATTATCTTACACGTATCTTGTCTTTCCCTTATGAGTGACAATATAAATAATTTAAACGATTAATACTATACATTAGGTAAACGTTACATTGCATATAATAATTATAAAGTAATCGTCTATAACTTTATGTCTCGTCTTTAACAATTCAATGCACTCGCGGCATTTTACTTGCAAATGTGTTATTGGTGTTATTCAGTATTATTCAGTGTTATTTAAAGCAGAAAGCATATAACATATAGATGACATTCGTCTCATACATGTTTTGACCCTGGGTGCTGGTTATGTGGTTTTCAGAGAAATTACGATTTAAATAGTTGGATTAATATTATATATTACTAATTTTTAGCAGTTTTCACGCCGTTCATGTTTATAATGTGGATTTTAAATGAATAATCCTTTTATCGATGTTTCGACTCGATATTTTTTTTATAAACATTTATAATTTGAATGTATATTAACTCTCATACAACGACGTATATAACGAAAATTATGTATTTATATTGAGTGTCAAATTTTTATTTTGTTTTTGTCATAACGTCTTCTTTGAAGCAATTTTAACGTGCACTATATATTTTGTTCGATGGTTTTCTGGAATAGTGCCTTTTTAAAATTTTTTTATCTTAATGTTGGTAACACCTATCACAATACACGGTTTTTTAACAACAAACTTCAAATGACAACATTACGAAGAATATTCTATGTATATTAACCTATACGGAATGTGACTTTAGTTTATAACGTTTAACAACAGTACAATTTGGAATGTATTCAATATGTAAAAGTACCCATCCCTCTACGGGAGTAGAACACGCGATAACATGTTACTTTTTCAATCGTTCCGAAAAATGTCTTGTGGTAGCAGGTGCAAATATCATCAGAGTATTTCGTTTAATACCGGATGTAGATATTACGAAAAGAGAAAAATATACAGGTACGCGTGTTTACTTGCTTTTCGTTATAATTTATTAATTCTCCAACCAATGTACCGTGTTATGTATGTCAGAAATACAATTTTCTCTCATACTAATGATTTTCTTTAGCGTGTATCAGTTTAAGCCTAACGTCAGAATTTGATTAGATTGTTTGTAATCTTTCTCTTCTATCCAAAATTTTCGTAACGTTTTCGGAACCGTATTCATAAAGAATATTTCTTTACCGATTATTTTTAATACATCCTTCATCTGATAAATATTGTCATTACAAATACTCTTCCACTTTTTAATACATTGATGAAAGTATAATTTTCATCTGATGATTCTTTAAATATTATGATATATTTTTTATCAGATGTTACACACAAATATATCATCTTTGTTTCAATCTATAATTTAAAGTTAATGGTTTACTTTTTAGAAGCACGTCCACCAAAAATGAAATTAGAATGTCTAGCACAGTATGTTTTACATGGAAATGTGATGTCAATGCAAGCTGTAGCTCTTGTTGGATCTCAAAGGGATTCTCTGTTATTAAGCTTTCGTGATGCTAAGTTGTCAGTTGTAGAATATGATCAGGATATACATGACCTCAGAACAGTATCTTTACATTACTTTGAAGAAGAAGAGATTCGGGTAATTGTGTTTAACTTTGATGGAATTTTAAACATTAAAAACTATTTTCATTTTCGACGTATTATTTCATTTTTATGTTAAAATTAAAAAGATTTTTGTTTTCTTTAGGATGGATGGACAAATCATCATCATATTCCTATTGTTAGAGTAGACCCTGAAGGAAGATGCGCAGTAATGTTAATATATGGCAGAAAATTAGTGGTATTACCTTTTAAAAAGGATCCAAGTCTTGATGATGCAGATTTATTAGACAATACAAAAGCATCGTCTAATAAAATTCCTATATTGTCATCATATATGATAGTATTAAAAAACTTAGAGGAAAAAATGGACAATATAATAGATTTACAATTTTTGTATGGTTATTATGAACCTACATTATTGATATTGTATGAACCAGTGAGAACATTTTCAGGGTAAGCAAACGCTTATGTAAATTTGAATAATTAATACAGTATTAATATGATATTATTGTAGGCGTATTGCAGTCAGACAAGATACATCTGCCATGGTCGCAATATCACTAAATATTCAACAGAGAGTACATCCCATTATTTGGTCCGTATCAAACTTACCATTTGATTGCTATCAAGCAGTGCCAGTAAAGAAACCACTTGGTGGAACATTAATTATGGCTGTCAACTCACTCATTTACTTAAATCAGAGTATACCTCCATATGGAGTTTCCTTAAATAATTTAGCAGAAACTAGTACAAACTTTCCATTAAGTTAGTATTAAATACATTTTTGTCAAACAATACTCTGTATATTATTTATGACTTATAGTATCATCTAAATTTACCCATTAACATAATTGCAGAACCACAAGAGGGAGTAAAAGTAAGTTTAGAAGGCTCTCAAGTTGCATTTATCTCTTCAGACCGTTTAGTAATTTCTTTGAAGAGTGGAGAATTGTACGTCTTATCTTTGTTTGCCGATAGTATGCGTTCTGTGAGAGGTTTTCATTTTGATAAAGCTGCAGCAAGTGTTTTAACTTCATGTGTGAGTATATAAAATAAATTGTATTTAATTAATTAGTAAAGAACATATTTTACATATGAACATTCAATTCATAGGTTTGCATGTGTGAAGATAATTACCTCTTTCTGGGGTCACGTCTGGGTAATTCACTTTTATTAAGATTCACTGAGAAAGAGTCAGAAAATTTACAAAATACATATGAAAATGAAATAACGATCGAGGAAAATGAAACAGAGGAAACGCCAGCAAAGAAAGTAAAACAAGACTTTATAGGAGATTGGATGGCATCTGATGTTTTAGATATAAAGGATCCAGAAGAGTTAGAAGTGTATGGAAGTGAAACACATACTTCCATTCAGATCACATCATATATATTTGAGGTATTTACACAAAGAAATCATACATTGAATAAATTTGTTACAGTATAGAATTAAATGTTTACAGGTATGTGATAGTTTATTAAATATTGGACCATGTGGCAATATATCAATGGGTGAACCAGCATTTTTATCAGAAGAATTTTCACACAGTCAAGATCCTGATGTTGAGCTTGTGACAACTTCTGGTTATGGTAAAAATGGTGCACTTTGTGTCCTCCAAAATTCTATTCGACCTCAGGTAATTCTTTGAAATGCTTGAATCATTGAAATTGTTCAAATTAATCGATTCTTTTAGATCTCGACATATTCTTATAACTCATTTAATAAGATTATTATCTAATTATAAAATAGGTTGTAACTACATTTGAATTACCAGGATGCGAAGATATGTGGACAGTTATTGGTACATTAAATAATGATGAACAAGTTAGACCTGAAGCAGAAGGTTCACATGCTTTCTTGATTTTAAGTCAGGAAGATTCAACAATGGTATTAAAAGTCATACATTTTAAACGTACATTTGTTTTTAAATATAATACATTGATTATTGTATTATATTTTTAGATATTACAAACTGGTCAAGAAATTAATGAGGTAGATCAAAGTGGATTTAGTACACAGGGGAGTACAGTATTTGCTGGTAATCTTGGCGCAAATAGATACATAGTACAAGTTACACAAATGGGTGTACGACTTTTACAAGGAATTGAACAGGTACATATAATATAATTATAAAAAACAAGTATTTATATATACTTATAGAAAATGTTATATACAGTCATGTATATTTTAATTATAGATCCAACACATGCCTATAGATCTTGGATGTCCAATTGTACATGCAAGTTGTGCAGATCCTTATGTAACTTTACTTTCTGAAGATGGACAAGTTATGTTATTGACACTCAGAGAAGGACGAGGAACTGCGAAATTACATGCACAAGCAGCTAATTTACTATTTGTACGGATGATGATTTTATTAAAAGATTTGTTACTCTTCCATTATATATTATTACAGTTTTTGTAACGAAAATTTTAGCGCCCTCAAATAGAAGCACTGTGTGCTTATAGAGATGTCAGTGGAATATTTACGACCCAATTACTTGAGAATGTAGAAGATGTAGTGCATGAAGAGGAGCATAATGTAGAAGAACCGCCAATTGTTAGTAATATTGACAATGAAGATGATCTACTTTATGGTGATGCACCAGCTTTTCAAATGCCTGCACCATCACTCACTAAAACGTCCGAAGCAGCATCAAAGAAAGCACCCTGGTAATTCTCTTAATTTACAATTATTCTATCTTTAATTCGCATATTAAATGTAATAAAATATTACTGTTATTATGTAAAAACACAGCAATTGTGTATTGATCAAATTGTTTTGACAGGTGGCAAAAGCATTTACAAGAGATAAAACCAACGTATTGGTTATTAGTATACAGAGATAGTGGAACATTAGAAATTTATTCTCTTCCGGATTTACGTTTATCGTACCTTATTCGTAATTTTGGGTACGGTCAATACGTATTGCATGACAGCATGGAGTCGACAACATTGCAAACTGCTCCTGTTAACGAGATTCCAAATCCTGAAATGCAGGTCTTATAAATTGATCGAATTTAATAATCTACTGAAATAAGTAAGTATATTTGCATAATGATGTCTTATTGCAGGTACGTGAAATTTTAATGGTAGCATTGGGTCATCATGGAAATAGGCCAATGCTTTTAGTGAGACTCGATTCAGAACTACAAATATATCAAGCATATAGGTATCCAAAGGGTCATCTAAAATTAAGGTTTAAAAAATTAGATCATGGTATAATATCAGGGATTACGAGGTAACATATTCCTTTTCTCAAGCCGCACTTTATACTGAATTGATTCATTGGAAATTGGAAATATTATTTCATTTACTAGGCAAACACCGAAAGACGAAGACGTGCCTACAATGAATGAGACTCGACATTGTATGATGCGTTACTTCAGTAATATTGCTGGATATAACGGTGTATTTATTTGTAGTGATTATCCGCATTGGATATTTCTCACAGGACGTGGTGAATTGCGTACCCATCCAATGGGTATCGATGGCCCTGTTACCTCTTTTGCACCTTTTAATAATGTAAATTGTCCACAAGGTTTCCTTTATTTCAATAGAAAGGTATTTTCTTTTATTGCAACAGAAAACAATCGTATTTTTATCCGTTATTATCATCACTGATATTATTACCGAAATATTATGTTGTACATTATATATATTTGTACTAACACATTTTGACTTTTAGGAAGAGCTACGGATATGTGTTTTACCAACTCATTTATCATATGATGCTCCATGGCCTGTTAGGAAAGTTCCATTGCGATGTACACCTCATTTTGTTACGTATCATCTAGAAAGTAAAACTTATTGTGTTATAACGAGCATAGCCGAACCACTTAAAAGTTACTATAGATTTAATGGCGAAGATAAGGTACGAAAACGAAAGTACAGCGGTCTGTTTAAAAGCAGAAAACAGTAATATTTTATTAGTGTTAATTTCTGTTTTTTTTTTTCTTTAGGAGTTTACCGAAGAAGAACGAACGGAGAGATTCATTTACCCTTCACAAGAACAGTTTTCGATAGTATTATTTTCACCTGTTTCATGGGAAACTATTCCCAATACTAAAATTGAACTAGATCAATGGGAACATGCCACTTGCTTAAAAAATGTTTCTTTGGCTTATGAAGGAACACGATCTGGCTTGAAAGGTTACATAGTAGTAGGAACAAACTATAACTACGGTGAAGATATCACAAGTAGAGGAAGGGTAAAATCTTAGTTCGGAAATTTAATACATTACGAATACTACGTTTCATAGAACTGTGCTTCTAATTTTGAATATTTTCAAACAGATACTTATATTTGATATAATCGAAGTTGTTCCCGAACCTGGTCAACCATTAACAAAAAATAGGTTCAAACAAATTTATGCGAAAGAACAGAAAGGTCCAATAACTGCTATCACCCAAGTCTCAGGTTTTCTAGTCTCCGCAGTTGGACAAAAAATATATATCTGGCAGTTAAAAGATAATGACCTTGTTGGAGTTGCTTTTATAGATACGCAAATTTACATTCATCAAATGTTAAGTATTAAGAGTTTAATTTTAATAGCCGATGTGTATAAGTCTATCAGTTTATTAAGATTTCAAGAAGAGTATAGAACGTTGTCTCTTGTTAGCAGAGTAAGTAAAAATTCACTTCTAAACTAGTCGCTCTTATTGTAGGGAATTTGCTGACAAGGCTTATTTTTCTAGGATTTTAGGCCAGCAGAAGTATATACCATTGAATATTTAATTGATAGTTCTAACTTAGGATTTGTTGTGGCTGATGGTGAGAGTAATATAGCTTTATTTATGTATCAACCAGAATCAAGAGAAAGCCTTGGTGGACAAAAATTAATTAGAAAAGCTGATTTCCACTTAGGACAAAAAGTAAATACATTTTTCCGGATCAAATGCAGAGTTTCAGATCCTGCAAACAGTAAGAAACAATTTCCTGGTGCGGATAAAAGACACGTTACCATGTATGGTAAGTTATATTAAAAGTATCAGGAAAAATATACATTTGTTTCAATTTGTACGTGGAATTGCATAAATTTGATTTCGTTATAGCAACTCTTGATGGCAGTCTTGGTTACATTTTGCCTGTGCCAGAAAAAACGTATCGAAGATTACTCATGTTGCAGAACGTTTTGGTATCACACATTTGTCACATTGCTGGATTAAACCCGAAAGCATATCGGTAATTACTTTACTGAAAATAATTATACATTCCGGGTGAATGTTTATTTTTGTAACTAACTATTCACCTTTTTATTTCAGTACTTACAAAAGTTATATACGGACTCAAGGAAATCCTGCAAGGGGTATTATTGATGGTGACCTAGTTTGGCGTTACCTTTATTTACCCAATAATGAAAAAATAGATGTAGCAAAAAAGATAGGAACACGTGTACAAGAAATAATAGAAGATCTTACGGAAATAGATCGACAAACAGCACATTTTTAAAATAGTGCCTTTTCATCATTTCATGTAATAGCCTTTTTTGTTTTAAATATTCCTGTTCATCTCTTAAGTAGCGAAATATTTCGTCGAAAGAATACTTGTTCCTCTTGTGCCGAAAGAACTATTTATCTTCATGTTTTATATTGAATTTACATTTAATTATGGTAATGATGAGTTTCGGTGCTTCTGTGGAGTATGAATACAAACCAATATGAACAGTGTAGATATATGTATGTATGTTGATTGGAATGAATTTGTACAAAACAAAATCTATTGTCTATTCCTTGACACGCTAAATTCAAAAGTTGTTTTCCACCATGACTACAGATACCTACATATTTGAAATGCTTCTGTAAAGGCTAAACATTTTCTTTAGATCTGTCAAGATCATTGTATAGAAGCAGATATACATTAAAATTAACTTCATGACACAATGCGGTCAGTATCAAAGCACGAATCTATTTTAATATCAAATCTATCGGAACGTCAAATTCATGGTTCGAGAAGATTTTCGAAACGCGAGACTCAACGTATGTATTAATAAATTACGTACATATATGATACATTATAATATTATGAACGCTATACTACGAATAAGGAATTGCGTTATTGTAAAAAAGAAAATAAATTTTATACATACATACCTCTTTTTTTCCTGGTGGGCTGGTGTATAACAAAAAAAAAAAAGAAAAAATACAAGGGGATTAGCTGGGTGGGATATTATACATACATACCTGAATTTATATGTTGACCATTAAAGAATATTGATCAAACAATTACAAACCAAATGCGACGGGTCACTTAACATAGGTGTAATATAATTTCTAAAGGTTTATCAACACGCATGTATATAAAAAGAACAACCAATAAGTAAGCAATTTTCCAATATACAAAGATATCTAATGTAGTGTAGTCACGGCAAGGACAAAATATAGATAAACATGTTACTCGAGTATTTTCTCTCAGAGTATATAGGTTTTTATAACAATATTTATTGAATTAAATAGAATTTAGAAATTCATGTTTATTCATAAATTTTGTGTACAGTGTCTGCAATTGAACCAACACTCCTAGAAAAAAGGCTTTGTGAGGCATTTGATGTATTTGATAGTTCAAAACTCGGTGAGATAGATGTTAGGGACTTGGGAACTATTATTAGAGCATTAGGATGTGTGATCACCGAAGCAGAATTACAGGAGATACAAGTTGTAGTGGAAGATGTGGAAAACAGTTCGGTACCAACGGACAAATTTGTAGAATACATGCACAAAGCTATTAACGAACGCAAGTTAGCTGTTTACACATTTTTATACAAAGTCTCTTACACTTGGATTGTTTAAATGAAATTTCAAATTTCTTTATTTAGATATAAACCAGCTGAACCAGAAGATCTTTTAAGAGCATTTCAATTATTGGACCCTGAAAACCGTGGTTATATAATGCGTGATGTTTTAGAGAAAGCGATGATGGAAATTGGGGAACCATTTTCAGAGCAAGAAATAGCAGACATGATGGTCATTGCATGTGATCCAAAAACAAAAAGAATCAATTACGAACATTACATTAATTTACTAATTGTATGTATATGCTTCTTCAATACTCATATATTTTTATCACAAAATAATTATTATTAAAATTATGACAAGTGACATGGAACATTTTTAAATACCATTTATAGGTGAAAATACCTAATGAAAGAAATGTATATTCAATCGTTGATGAAATGGATGCAGCTAGATTAAAAGCTATGCCTAAAAAACGTAGATTGGAAGATCTTCTTTTGAACTATCAAACAGCTTAACTTTTTTAGAAGATATAGGTCTTGAATTAGTTAAAGTCACAGTGTTTAGTAAAAGAAACATAATTAACATGAAGATTTGTTAGTATTAAAATGTATTTCAAATATTATCATAATATTCCTTTCCATCTTATAATGTATAAAAACATTCCTATAAAAATATTCTATTTAAATGCATTCAAATTATGTATAATTATTAACTTGTTATATGTGTATGAAGATCCGAGTCTCACAATTTTGAAAAAACTGGAGGTTCTGATTTAACAACTTGCGACATTGTAGCATTTGCAAAGTCCTCACTTTGAAGCATACTTTGATTATGCATTGCCTACAAATATAATAAAAATAAAGTGTCTATACATTCATGTAATAGTAATTATATTATTATAGGTGGAGTAATAGCGAAGCTTACAATGTGATCTAAACCCTCTTGAACAGAGTGATCTCTTGAGTAAACCAAACTTAACTTTGAACCTTGCACTGCTACTGGACTTTTACTTGCTATTTCATTTGCGAGTGCAATTGATCCTTCCAGCAAGCTAAAAGAAATGGAAAGTACTTGCAATACAATGTATTGTTCATAAGAATAAAATCAAATACTATTAGGTCAACTGATTACAATACATTTATATAAACTATAAGAAAGCTTTACCTTTCTTCAGTCTCAAATAAACAACTAACAAAACCATGTTGTAATGCCTCAGAAGCTGTAAATTTCCTTGCTGTATATACCAGTTCCCTAACTAAACTGTCAGAACCTATAATTTTTGGAAATCTTTGCAGTGTACCCACATCAGCAGCCATACCTAGTGCAACTTCTTTTATTTGAAACCATGCATCTGAAGTACAATAACGAATATCAGCTGCTGATATCATGTCTACTCCAGCACCAATACATGCACCATGTACAGCTGCAATCACAGGTTTTGGACACTAAAAGATAATTTTCCAAAAATAAATATGAAAATATGAAACAAGTAAACAACACATAAATAAGTATATCAGTATAAATGTCAAGGGTATAATGAATAACCTTTTCTATAGCAGTAATGCAATCTTGGTACTCCTTAATCATAAGTTGTACTATTTTACATTTCCGGGCAATGTCTTCATGTTCTGCTAATTTTGGTGCCCAATTCACCACATCCTGAACATCAATTCCTACAGAATTAGTTTTTTTACTATATTTTAAGGCTATTCTTCGTGACACAGAATACATATATATATACATATATCAATAAAATTAATATACCTGCACAAAATGTTTTGCCACTACCTGATAGGATTATAACTCTGCAGTCCGATTCTACTGCTAAGTCATCAACACATTTTTTAAATTCTCTACACAATTATTAAATAAACGATATTAAAATAAACATAATATTTATTAATATTAATATAAATACATACTTCCACATAACATCATTAATGGCATTAAGTTTTGTAGGCCTGTTTAATTGCACCATATAGGTAAATTGCTTTGGTAATGATATTTTTAATGTTTTGTATTTTTCAAAAATCTGCCCACTAGTGTAATTCATTTTGCAATAATTTTGTATTTCTAGAAAAAACGTATTTTACATTAACCATTACATATAACATATGTATGTATAATTATAAACATATAGATAAAAATTTTATATCTATATATAAACAAATTACAAGTTACTTTTTAATAAATATTAATATATTACTTGATAAATACATAAGTTGTAGGTTTCTTACGTGTTTTTACACCATTTACAAATAATGGATGTTTAATTACGTGCAACATTTCTCTATTCACAAAAGAAATATATATATATAGAATTTATTGCAGTATATCTACATAACATTAGATAATCTTATACTTGTTTATATTTTGCACAATATATGAGTATGTACATACTCATTAATATATACATATACGAATATGCATATATAATCGCAGAACGTAGCCAACATAATCACAGGAACCGAGAACTCTGTTGGTAACTCGCCTCTGATTAGTCAACGTTTTTCGTTAATATGTATCTCGTTAACAAAGCCTCAGATAACATTTTTCCGGATCGTAGCGCTGAAGTAACTCCTCTCTTTAAAACAGCCTGGGTAATCTGTATTATCATCGGTAAAGTACTGTAAACTGATGACAATATCGAGCTAATGGCTGCGAACTTCGAATCTATCTCATAAAACCACGTTCTATATTACATCGAACTAGGATTATTTTAAAAATCGATATGAGATTCAAAGTGTAAAAATGTCTAGTACTTTGAATGTTTTAGAAAATTATTCGAGATAAAGATGTATGGAATTACTGAAAATTACTTTAGATTCCTTTTCCTTATTCTGTAAATTCTTTGATTGGAATATGAATGCTGCTGGAAGTATGAACATTTTCACAGGACAATGATATAAATGGAACTTTAAAACTTTTTTAAGTGTCACAGTGATATTTCGTTATATGTTCCATAATGTCAATAATATTGATTTCCCCGCAACATCCATAATTATTACAAATGTCAACATAACGAAATATCTCTTATGCGATGTTTGTGGTGTAATAAAAATCTGTGTTTCGATTACGTTTTTGATACGTATTACTCACTTATATGTAATAATATAGAATAAAAATATACTATTAGTCCGATATTTGAAAATATACATGCGTTCGTTGTCACTGTTAAACTGTTGTAATAACAATGGAATAATAAAATAATTTACTCAAAGGTACATAATAATACATATACATATCCATAAAAACAATATTAAACGCAATAACTTTTTTGTACGCGAAGAAAAACTAATATAGGTCCGTCGGGATTAGAACCCAAGACTCCTTTCTAATACGTCTACTTTATAGCGAACGGACGGAAGAGAATCCGTTCACGACCAAGGTCCCTTCTTAGATTTAACGTAGTTCACAAATTCACCGTTCTCATAACGTAGAGGACAGCAGAAAATCCCTGACTTTTTACACTATCGGTATTTCAGAACATGAGACACGAGTGATCTATGACGACGTGACTATCACCGACTAGGTATAGGATAGACCTATCACCTTATCCCATAAGATGATAGGTCTATCCTATACCTAGTCGGTGATAGTACTTCCGGATCGAAACTTTGAGGGGTTCTTTCACCCCCTAAATATGAAAACGGGCCGCTATACAAAAATACGTATCTCTTATTTTTCGGTCCTCTAAAACATATCCGAAAACCAAAGCAATCGGAGGCGGGCACCTAAAATACACTCCTTGTAAGCCATATATATACTATATATATGTCTATGATCTCGTCTGCGCTTGAATATATATACTTTATGCTTTATCAAATGTACACATATTTGGTGATCTACGTATTAAGTATTTTAAGGCGTGTCACTTAGTGACCAACTTCATCCGGTCTCGTGTACTTTAACCACTTTAACCAGACGGAGCTGTAAGGCACTGAAGGTTGTACGAGGGGCAAGATGTTGTCAAGATTAGCTTTTCGTAATGGTGAGTTAGAATTAAAACGGATGTTACTTCTAAATATATTATTCACAAAATTCTATAGGTTAATAATAGCAGAATTCTTTAAAGTCCGTCGTACTTGTCATTGTCAAGTTTATGTCGATTATTTTAATCCCATTATGTAATAATATTTGTTACTTCATCGATATTTTCCATAAACAATATGGATAATCAAACCTTGATTTTTAAATTTGTTTGTTAGTGACATGCCTTATTTGAATAAAATTATTAAATAATGAGTAATCAGTAATTAATTTCGGATTATAGGTAAGCATGAGAGTCTTTTCTATTGATGACTATGTAATACATTTTGCGTAAAAAAGATTTTTTTATAACTATAATTTCCTTTATAGCTCAAGCACTTTCTGTGGCCGTTCGAGGCATTCAGACTTCGACACCAACATCATCAGAATATCAACGTCCAAAACGTTTAATCGAACCATCGCCAGTTAGGCATGGATTTATTCCAGATGAATGGTTCACATTCTTCTATTCCAAAACTGGTGCAACAGGTAGATTAGTGATTTATAAAATAATATCCTACATTGTCATGTTTAAGATAATTAGAAAATCCATAGTACATAATCTCCTTTATATGTATATACTACGAGACCTTTAATTTAGCAATCAGAAAAGTAATTATTTAAGTTAACGTTAAATAAACATTATATTAATAAAAAAATAATAAAGAAAAAACAGAAATATATTTGTAATAATTAAAATATAAATTTATAATTAAAACTTATTTATGTTTCTTATTTAGGTCCATATGTATTCCTAGCTACTCTGTCAACATATTTACTATCTAAAGAGTATTATGTTCTGGAACACGAATTCTACAATGGACTTTCTGTTCTTATGATTGTCATTATTGGTGTAAAGAAGTTTGGTCCTGGTGTAGCAAAGTATTTAGACAAAAAGGTTGATGAGTATGAAGCAAATCTAAGTGATGGAAGGGCAGCACAGTTGCAGGCACATGAGGATAACATTAAGAACATTGAATGTGAGAAGTGGCGCCTTGATGCACAAAAAATGATTTATGATATTAGAAAGCAAAATATTTTAATGCAGTTGGAAGCTACTTACAGAGAACGATTAAACCAAGTGTACACTGAGGTAACATGCTTGTATTTAAAATGTGATTATATATTTTGTAAGAAATTGTGACATTTTGAAAGTGTTAAAAAAATATCAATTACTGAAACTCAATCAAGTATAATTATTTACTTGTATAAAGGATCTTTCATAACATATCAGACCAACGTCAGTGATAGTTTGCGGACATAAAAATAATGAAAAAAGGGTCTTATAAACATATGCTTATTTTGACCTTGTTTTCGAATTGTAATCATTTTTGTTATACTAGTAATTCTGAATGACTATCTGAACTATTGTAACTACATCTGTTAAACTGTTTGTGTATGATACTTGATAACTCCTTTTTAACACTAAACCTACCACGACCGGTCAAACGACCGTTTTTGCAGTTCTAATTCCTACCCCTATGAAGGGTTCGGTACATTTAGTGTTAAAATGTTACTGCCTTGCATTCATTTTGAAAACATGTCTTGCACATTTTGTAGATGAAGTTCTTGTACTTGAGTGTTTATAATATTTGCGTTATTTATAGGTGAAAAAACGGCTTGATTACAATTCTCAGTTAGATATGGTGGAACGTAGAATTGCTCAAAAACACATGGCACAGTGGATCATAAACAGTGTATTGAAGTCTATTACACCAGAACAAGAAAAAGCCAATCTACAGCAATGTATAAAAAATCTTGAAGCTCTTGCTGTAAAAGCATAAGAGTCTACTATTGAACTAGACGAAATAGATTAAACTTGACTAAGTTCATTGTAAAAACACACGAGAATACTGTACAACTCGTAGTGTACTCAAAAATATTGCAAAACAATTAATACTAAACTGATCTTTATCAGTGCATTGTATATTATATAATCATAATACATTGAAATAAATAAATTAAATTAAAACAATATTAAACAATGTGTTGAAAAAATATCTGAATTTGAATATCCTTTTTTTATGTTTCCCTAGTTTATTCATTCAATATTTATGCAAATAACTACAAATTTTTATGTACGAATTTACAAAAACTGGAATCCCACAAAAATTGATTTCGTCTATTAAAGGTTCTACTTAATCTCCCTAAATTTAAAATCCTCTTAAATGTTACAAAAAATTTCTTATTTTATACGCAACTGGTGAACCAAGCTACTAACGTACATCGCCAATACGTATTGATACGTATATAATATATATATGTACATATATAGTATATATTAGTGTATAGTTCAAATATGTAAATCATGACCAATCACGACACGATCGTATTGAATCTGCAACTACATACTGTTATGTACGTGTAAATATACATATAACTATTTTGTAACTCTCAACACGATTTTGTAAAACTCCCATTTTTAATCGAAGCATTTATAACGATATGTCATGTATGTATACATATACATATTTTTACCATATCGTTTACCAAATTCAGCAATTACTTTCATTTGTTATTAGAGTCTCGTGATATTTTTGGTAAAAATTTAAACGAAGAATAATTACATTCATATCAATAAGCAGTTACGGTTAAATAAATAATCATTTTTGTAGATGAATGTTATTTATATACATATGTATATATGTACAATATACATACATTTTTTTGTAGGTTAAGTTACTGTAATTTATAGATATATACATGATTTTTCTCAATTGTTAGACGTCATCGTATTTGTAACAAGTGTCTGTATTAATTTTTCGTGAAGATGGCCTGGTTGTCAGGTCTCGCGGACAAGGCAGAAAATTTATTAAATAAAATAGATAAAAATACCGCGGCAGTATTAAATAAAGATAAATATGAAGTATCACAGTCTCAACTGACAGAAGTTACGTGGACTCCACCTGAATTACGGTAAAGAATCAACTATTTATTTGTTGGTTGTATGAGTTTGATGTATAAAATAATTAAATGTTATTTGACATACAGCTAAATATATGGTCGTGTCTACGAAAATTAATGAAACGATAATCTGTAAGCTTGTTAAAGTATTTGTATCTGTCAGTTAATCAAAGTACTAAAATATGTTTCAAATATTTCAGTCTTAACACACAAGAAGAAATATCTCTGAAATCTGCTTCAGGATCAACAAATCAATTTCCTTATGTTCGTTCAGTACCAAGTCTTTCTTCATTGGCAACAAATTCTATTGTATCTAAAGATGAGGAACTTCTCACATTTTTAAATACACCTGATTCAAGCCCAAAGAAAACTATGGCAGAAGTATCAATGTCGCCACCAACACCCTCATCTCTTATGGTTGAACATCCTACTGACACTACAGATTCTGTATCAGAGTTATCAATTCATAGTGGTCGTTCAAGTCCTAGTCTTATGCATACATCTGTAGATGTTCCAGATGATCTTAATCATGATATTATAAATACAAGGGATGAAGCCTCTTACAAAAATGATATAGTACATAAACTAAATAATGGAATAGCAGGACAGCAGATCTTAGGAATTATGTTGGATAATGGTAAATACAGATTTTGGTTTTAATTGATTTATGTGGATTTAGAAATCTTGTAAATATTTAACATTCTTTTCTTTAGAGGGTAGTGTTGTTGAAAGACAATTCGATGTTGTGTCACAGTCCGGGTATGAATATGAATCAAAGCCAGAAATATTGGAAGTAAATACATTACATTCATCTCATGATAAGAATATAAGAAAATACCTAAAAGAAGTAGAAAGGAATTTGGAGGAAAAGAATGAATTACTTGGAAAACAAGAGACAGATCACCAAAAAGAAATTGTAGTGTTGAATGAAAAGTTACAGTCTTTGTACATGGAAAGAGTGCAGTTGTCGAAGCTAGTGATAGAATTACAGTCTGCTTTAGAGAGAAGTAGATTGGAATTAAATTCCACTAGATCAGATTTAGAACAATACAAAGCCAGGGCACTAAAGACATTGCATGAAAAGAAAAAATTAATAGCAGAATTAAGAAATAATGAGTCTACAGAAGTAGATGATACAATGGTCATGGAATTAAATCAATTGAGGTAAACTACTAATGTACCAAAAATAAATGTATAACTGTTTTTCTAAATTATGCTGCATTAAATGATAGGCAAGAGCGTGACACATTCAGAGAAGAAAATCAACAAATTTCTGAACAACTGAGGATAGTACGAGAGGAATTGATGAATGCTGATGTGAAGTTGGAGAAAATGAGACAAAAATCTGCTGAGGCAAATATACAAACTCAAGAAATACTTGCAACAGAAAGGCGTAAACGATTAGATACAGAAGAAAATTTAAGATTAAGCTCAGAAGTATGTTAATAATCAACTGTGTAGACACAGTTTAAATGATTCTTACCACTATAACGGGATGATAACTGATCCCAACGTTGTTTTAGGAAATAAGAACTTTAAAAGATCAAATAATTCGTCAATGTAATCGTTACACTAAACAACTGCAAAAGAATGAATCTGAAATTGCCAAGCTTAGGATGAAATTATCGACACAATCGACGCCGAGCGACGACATGAAAACGAGATTAGAATCTCTCACGCAAACTTTAGTTTCGAAACAGCAAGTGTTGGAAAGTTTACTTACTGAAAGGAATGCTTTGAGATTACGGTTAGAAAAGATTGAAGTGAGTTAACGCATTCTTGACATGCACAGTGTTCATTTTTACAAACTCAAATGTTTTACACTTATTTCCACAGCATGAATTTAGAGATAGTCGACGTAATGTATCCTATAATATAAATGATACAGATGATGCAAAAGCTCAAGTACCGACATTTTTAATGGAAACCCCATTTGACACTGGGGTTACTAGAAGAGTAAAACGAGCTTATTCTTCATTAGATGCAATTAGTATACGTACAGGAGTGTTTCTAAGGAGATACCCTCTTGCAAGAATTTTAGTATTAATTTACATGGTAGGTCTCGATACATGTATTACCATAGATATTACGTTTCTAATATAGTACAATTAACCCATTGTAGGTGTAGGTTTGTATATTTTCGACAACATAATTTTATCTGTTCGAACACTTGTAAAAAAGTTCTGAACACATTCCTTGTTGACCATTAGCTTGCAATGCACATAGAAAATGGTTCACCGTATAAATAAAATTATACTTTCTTAAATATATTTTTTACAGGCACTACTACAATTTTGGGTTCTGGTAGTTCTTCTATCGCAGTCACCAGAAGCACATTAACGTTCGACATTTACAATATGAGAAAGCATAGTTTAATTAAATGTTCGATACTTTAGTATAAATTAAAAGTTTTTGTAAATATAACATTCTAATAGTACGTATAAGTTACTGTTATATAATTGTTAATTTTTTTTAGCATATATTTTCTCCGTTACTGTTCCAATAACGGGTCCGCTGAAACAGAAAGAGCGAGTGAGCGTCGAGACAGTCGACAAAAATTTAATGCCTACATATCGGTGAGACACACCAATGCAACAATCAAACTTCTTTATTTATCTAACTAAATTATATCGTGTTTGGTCTTATTTTAATCAGAACAATCTCACCAATATGTTAATGAAAATTTCACCCAAGAATAAAAATGTTCGATCATTGCATTAGTGTTGTCTCATCGATACGCAGATTTTTAATCTTTTTTTTTTTGACTCCCAACTTTCAGTAGGGACACGGATGAAGGAGAAACTTTTGTGGAATATACCTAGCCGAGCATATGGAGAAAATTTTGTACGCTCTTTAGACAACTATGTTGTGTATTATAGAATATTAAAAAGTTTATAGAAACGTAAGCTAATTTTTGTGAACGCATTTGAACATAACAATTTCAGAAATAGCACTTACAGAATCTCAACCTGTTTGGCTAGTGTATTATGCTTTTGTATGTAGTTATTATTAATACGGCACAGAATTGCGGTTAACAAAAAATATTTATTTACCTACATCATCGTTTATTTTTTCATTACACAGAAAGGTACACAGCATGTTATTATAATCATGATCAATATAATGTATTTCGTCGGATTTATCCTAAGAAGAGAAATAAATAAATGAATACTTTATTGTATTTTAATTAGGTTTTCATAAAACATTTTAAAGAATAAGCATATTTTTGTTTCTTAATTTAATGATATAATTGATGTTACAAGTTATAACAGAATTTGGCATCAGTTCTAAATAATTTATAAGAATATTGTAATGAGTAATAATATTAACTGAACTAAAGTGTAATTTATGGTAGTGATTTTATAGAATTACGAGTTTATTTTGTAATAATGTATCTATTACAATATATGATCCTTAGAAACTGTTAAAAGAATAATTACCAGAAATTTTTCGAAAATCATTTTAATCTGTGATTTAGTTGCATAAATGTTTTTCCGGAAGCCACTTAAGTGTATTGTACGATGCATTACCACATAATAGGATTGCTATCATTGCTCATGCATCATATAGCATTGCCCAATTTTGTATTTTTTATTATTATTAGTAATATCTAATTTAGTTCATTATTACTGTTGTGTATTATTTAGCATGAATACAAGACATGAAAAGGAACGATTTGATGTGATAAGGGTTTGTGGCATGCAAATAAAATTTAGACCAATTACTCTTTGTACTTTTTATAAGTATTAGATAAGTAACAACACAAGATATGTTTCACTTTGTAAATATAGTTATGCATGTACCACAATGTTTTAATATATAAAATTATAAGAAATAACCGATTATGGTCTACAATTTAATATCACACGTCTGTCAAGAATGTTTAATGTTACTACGATGTTAAGAATATTAATTTAAGTCTAGAGAAATTTACTGTTACTTTACAAAGTCAACATGGTTATAATTACATGCAATGATTTAAGTAGTGCTTAAGCAGTGTAAATTATAACTATGTGTATTGCTTATGTAACCGGGACATAATATATGTACACTCCTTAGGCACAAATTTTATAATTAGATCACTGAAAACTGACTAATATCTTTTTAACTATGCCTGTAAAACAATGCAATTTAGATATTACAGGTAAATGTAATAATCTGTCAGGCATTAATTGAGTTTCTGGTAATTAAATTCGTAGTCTGTACTAAAATATAAGGACACACTACTCTAAAATGAAAAATATTCTATTTTATGAATCTTTTTCTACAAAATGTTTTTTCTTTCACAGAGTTTATTTATTTTAAAATGATAAACGTTATAAACTGTTTTTGAGTAAGTTCAATTTAAATGTTTGAAATTTACTCTCCAATAATTTACAAATTTTATCTTTTTTTATTCCTTTCCCAGATACCACATGGCGCCTTGAACACGCCCATTTTACGGCTATTTTAGGTTTGAGACGCCTTTAAGCCGTCTTTAAGGTGTTATGTGCTATCTAGGTAAATTTTAATGAAAAAGTAAATTTAATTTATATGTCAATTTAAAGAACACTGAAGCAACGACTGTATATATGTATGTCAGAAGGATTTGCTAAATCCACATATATGTATAGTTTAGATTTTAGATCAACATTTGTAAACTATATTTTCGAAATACTATGATTATCACACAATCACGAATTACGTCACAAATGGAGGATTAACATTGCTTTCAGTTTTGGTAATTATAAGTAAATATGTCAAAATGTATATCACTCATAATTTTTGATAATTAATGTAGTTCGCTAGATGAAATATATGTGTATAGCAAACGTTTCTTGAAATTATACTAATTTTCACGTTTCATAAGTACTGCATTTACGAACCGTAAACGCATTTAATACGCTGATTATTGTATGAATATCTTCAGATTGCAATAAATTAATTCGTACGAGTATTTATATACAATTTGTTTCAATTGTATCAGTAAATTGATGGAATCTGAAATCTGAAGTTTAAACTTCGTATCGTTATGATTATTTTGAATCTACATATTTCTATTGTTTCGTTACATTATTTATGAATAAATTAAATACGTTTATTAAATACGTTAATACGTTCTTATAGCGTTTCTATTCCAATTAAATTTTCGCGATCGACAGAAAAAGAGATTTTGTTACTATAAGTGCAAATACAAAATTTCACAGCCACGAATTTGCAGAGCGTTTTTGTTAAAAAATGCTCACGAGTAAAAATATATTAGATGAAAATTTCGATCTGAAAGTAAAATTAAAATAATCTTGTATTATGTCTTTTACAAATGCTCTGCCTTCAATGGACTATAGAATGAAAATATTAATATTGATATTTAATCAATTATTTCAAATAATTCTACTTTAAATTCTACTTCATTGTAATATATTACAAGTTCTGTTGATTTTTATATAATGATATTTGTTTTAATGCTTTAAGACTTTAAGAAATTACTTCACTGATATATTCAAGCTTCTTCAGTTTAGAAACCATTACATAATGTTTCCTAGTTATTAGTTTGAACAAATGAGATTGTGCTAGTGAAATTAACTTTTCTGATATTACTAATACAACTTTCCCTGCAGCTCTTTTGATAAAGCTGTACAATGTAGAACCTACAAACTATTGTTCTAAATATCTTTCTTAGAAAGTACTAACTTCAAATTTTTAGTGAAATCGTCCAGCATTTTTTAAAAGACATTGCAGACAAGTTTGTATATTCTCTTGATGTGCTACATCTTCAAATTTCACTTACAACTCGTACTTAGTATTGTACTTCTCATAATAAAATGTTTGACAAACAATAAATGCAAGATTAAATTAATGAGAATTCGATTATTCATTCAGAAACGTAATAGCTGTTAAGTAATATAGTCCATATACAAGATGAATTTAAAAGGATTACAAAATTAATATTCCTCATTGCAAGAATAAAGATTTAAAATAAAAAGTAATTTTTTATATTGCCATAGGTTGCAATTTAATAATTACTCCACGATGTTCAAGAAGTATCAAAATAAACATTTTTCGTAAGGTTGTTCTGACATTCAATAAATACCTTAACTCATTATTCGCATATTAATTTAGTCCCTTTAATTCGGGAGTAATCGGATCTCACATTCATAGTTCAGGATTTTACCGGTATTGCAGATGCTATCAGGACATTTTCGGCTTGAACTCTCCACAGACTCATCTTATATGCATATAGAAAGGAAAAATGAGGCAATGATAATAATGATTATGAATGATTTCTTACATTAGATCATCCAAAACCGAACATTGATTCCGAATTGTTCGAATGTGAAAAATAAAACGCAATAAGATCACAACGATTAAGTGCATTCAAGCATCGTTTCTATATAGTTATCTATGTCGCGCAGTCAAGAAACGATTTTATCATCGTCCAATACTCGATGGTCAAAGCGTGTGTACAATCTTTCGAAAATTTCTCATTGGTGCCATGTCGAGATAACCTCTCGCCTGTGCACGAAACTTTATGTTTATGATTCCTCGTTTTCGGACGAGGAGAATTCATCTAACGACGATTCTTCATCGTGCTCACTGCTGCCGCAACTGGATGTGACATCATAGGACGAAGAATACGTAGAGCCTGGGGTCGGTGGAAGAGACGGTAGTCTTGAGTATGTCTTTTCCGTTGTGGAGGACACGTCTTCGTCCTTGCAGTCCGAGTCATCGTCTAATCTTTGTTGCGTGGACTTGTTTTCGGGATTATTTAGAACAGAGTGGATGAAGTCACGAGTCTCCGCGCTCAACGCGTTTACCTTTTCTTGAAGAATGTTGTTTCGTCTGACCAAAGCCATTGTACGCACGACAATGTCTAGAAGACCTACGGAGTCGTGAGAAGAAAATCGGAATTATTCTTCGCAGTCAAATGAACTTTATGTTTCGGGGGTGAATGAACTTTTCCAGTGTGTTGGTGTATCAATGTACAGTAAGGATCCGTTAAATGTTACTCATCGAGGGTAATTTCCTCCGCGGTAACAGAATAATTGCAATTATTCGTATGCTCACAGCAAATTAATGATACGTACAGGATATAATAAAATAGATAAATATTCTTATGTTTGTTGGTAAACGAATACATCTGTATGCAATAAAACTGGATTTGAATGTTTTGGATTTATTTACGTTCTTATAATACTCGATCATGTGTTAGGGACGAGATTATGTATGTATCCTCACGAGCAAACTCGGCTTCTGCTAGCGGAAAAAGGTGGCGTAAGAAAAGGGACTCTTCCCATTTGGTAAATTTCAAGTATTGAAATAAAAGTTAAATTGAATGTTAATTTGACATAAATTTCAGTAATTCCCGATACCAAGTGGTAGGAGGATTTTCCAGTACACCACTGTTTCCCCTAACGGAAACCAAATTTTTACGTAGTATAGATGAATGGCGCGAATAATTCTATCATTCAATATGTATTCACGTTAATTTCGTTGGTAAACAATACGACGGAAACCGTACCTTTCCGTCGTGCGAGAAAGACTTTCCAGTGTTCCCCCACGTCCGCCGGAACTCGAGCCGAAACGGTCGGTAAGGAAGAACTGACGATCGTCGGGCCGCAGGAATCGTTCGAATACTCCGGCTCCCAAACCGGACTTTCCGGTGGCGTTAACGATAATTCCTCGTGGACCGCCGGATTCGATTCTATCCTCCTCAATTCTAATCTCTGGTGCTTCTCGACCGCCCCACCGGAAGAAACCCGTTGCCGTCTGCGTGAACACGTGATCGCCGATTTTCTCACCATTGGGAGCTCCGAAAGGCAAACGGTCGGAGCCATTTTGCGATAAAAGTCTACAATTAAAAGATAAAAAATAGTTGTATTACACACTTATAATGTATTTATCGTCTTCAGTTTAAATATTGAGCAAAGAATCGTGTAAGTAGTATGTATACTACATATGTCTCGTGAAATTTGGGATTTGCTCTCTAAAAAATCGAAAGCCTCTGTGGCTCTCTCTCTCTCTCAGTAATATAATTCTTCTACTTTCTTCTCTATTTTTAGAGGATGAAAGGCTGGAACATATTTAGAACTTAAATTGTGCTATCAGTTTATTAAACAGTCGATTACTTATTGGGATACTTGAGACATTAAAATGGCCTTTTTAGAACACAGTGCCCCAAGATCTTCAAATTTTTAATGAAATCTTTAAAATGGATATTCTAGAATACTGTTAATAGCTCCAGATACTTTTCCTTGAAGAACAATTTTAGGTTTGTTCATCGAAACTGTAATTTTACTGGTAGGTTACTTTACATTACTACAAGTAGAAGCATCCAGCAATGATCAGACACGGCAAGTCGTCATATAAATTTTCACATTCCATTTTCTCGACGATAGAGCTTCATACTATCCATTTTTTTTTTGTGCAAAAAGAATCATTTTCATTTCCATTGTGCCACGAACAGCTGAACCTATAAATTCGATCGATCGTTTGCTCATCGATCGACAATGCCGATTCCTAGATTATGATATTCGAATTTTTATGGTTGACCTCATTCGTTCATAAAGTGGGCATTTTAAATAACCGTGTTTGGACGGTGCCTCCAACCAGAGTCTATCGACCGCGGTAAGTGTCCTATTAGCGATTTAGAACGACACCAGCCGTCCGCGCGTAATTTGACGAAGAGCGAACCTAATCGATGACCTAAATATGCAGAGCTGCGATGCGCTTTGGCGCGCAGACACGCCTGTGGAAGCGATTTTAACGGTGATTAAGGGATCCATCGAACGGGACATTCATTAAAGAAGAGCTCGAATTTAGTCGGCTTTCATTTAAACGCGGATAGATATCTATTTGAAGATGTATGGAAACGGTCTGTTATGTCTGTAACACTAGAAATAACTAAACAATGCATTGTTTCAAGTCTTTTACAACTTTTATTGCAATATGAAAGTGACGGAATTAGTTAATTTTTAAATTTGTATATTTTCAAAAGACTGTCATGTTTATCGGGCCGATAGAAATAGATACACGTTGATCGTCGATATTTCTAGCGTGAAAGATTAATCAAAATGTGTCGTGCACACGAAACTTTGTTTTTTATAGTGTCTCGAATACCGCAGTACCGAGGCTCGAGTTATTAATATCGGCAACAATAGATGCAAGAAAATAATGTACCTATTTAAGAAGAATAATGAAAAAAAAAGCTACTGTTTGTTTGAAGACCGAATCAATTAAGTGGAAATGTTAACAGGAACAGTTGTCGAGGTTCTCATTGTTTATACATCAATATACATTCGGAAGTGTTAACAGTGTTACGTATACTTTGCGAGATAAGGTACCATCATATAAATCTTCTGTTTCAACGATCAAGGCAAATAAACGGGGTTTACCGGGATTTATGCGCGGGTCGCGAGTCTTTAGCCTGAACGTACAACTTTTCTCTTCGCTGTTTAAAATACACTATTTTAAATCGACACAATTTGTAACCTGTTAAAGGAAGAGGGCGAGTTAATTCGTCATGTACCTTCGGACAATTTGTCTTTCTTCTTAAAGTAATAAATAGACTGGTTGGTATAATTTATCGCAAATTCTATTAAAAACGAGTGAAGTGTAGTCAAATAAAAACGTTTGATACAAGAATCAGTTTCCTTTTCAATGAATAAATCATTAATAAAGGAAATATCTACTTCCTTTGATAAATTTAATAATTCCTTTTTCTTTCATTTCTGCTTTTATAAATTAATCTACAAAAGTATGAAATTGCACAAAAGTCCACAGTTTAATATAATAATAAGAAAATTGAAACCAATTTTACTATTCGAAACTCTGGATTAGTAACATGAGTACGTAAAGTACACTAACAACATCAGATTTTATTATTTATTAATATTCCTTTAAAACGTTTGGTAAATATGTAATGTATGTTATTATACGATAAAATATGTTATTGAAGTGCAGGAGCAGACACGTGTCAGGCGTGGTCAAGGTGTGAAATACTGGCTCGTGGCGATATTATTAGATATTTACAAGTGAAAGTCCCGTCTCCGAGTTGGTCGTTTATAAATAATTCCCTCGTGGTAAAGTAAACCCGATGCTTCCAAGCTAATAAACGGATGGGTACGCCCTATTTTCGATCTCAAAGATGTGTCTCGTAACACATTCACTTTCGTGACCACGATCGCTAACGTTCGCTTGCAGTCATGTTTACGAGTATAAATTTGTCCACTTATTGCATTTGTGTTCTATCAGATTATCGCAATTACAGTTCGATAAACCCTTGAACAATTTGAAATCGGATTCTGTCAATGAAATTTAAAGAAACAACATTTCTTCTAATGTTATTTCCATTGTTTCTTCTCTTCGAATCGAATTTCACTTTAAAAGAGTGAAAAAAATACTTATAATAATTAGGAAGACAGTACACAGAGAATCAGCAGAATACAAGATAAACTTGTATGCTTGAACACACTAATTCTTGTAACATGTAACAGGAAGCAAATACTTAGAAAGACATGGGTATACATGAACTCATATTCTACAGAAATATACCAATTTTATTTTCAAGACACGAGACTTTATGTTAAATATATTTAAAAGACGGTCACTTTTCTAGAATAAAGAAAGCCAAATGAGTATTAAATATATTTCATGTAATAGTTTCAATTAGAATTCGAAAACATAAATTTATTTATCGTGTTCTACGAACCTGTTTTACCGTGTTATATGAGCACTGTTATAATGTTTCCGCCGTGTTGTACAGGGTGTCATGTAATTGGTAGTACAACTGGGTAGAGGGTGACTGTACGTGAAAAAATAAGTCGAAAATATAGAATAAAATTTTGTCATTTGAGACTTCGTTTTCGGGAAAATCAACTTTGAATAAATCTGAAACGGGTGTATTCGTCATAGTAGATATAAGTAGAAACGGAATGCAATGAACAGACACAGTAGCCTCCTATTCAATTGCACAAGTATCCAACAGATTTTCCAAATCGATTATCTCGAAAACGAAGTCTCAAATGGAAAAATGTTACTATATATTTCCGACTTAATCTTTTACGTAGAGTCACTCCTTTCTCGGTTGTATCACCAGTTACATAACACCTTCTATACATCCGTGTTACATGTGGGTCTACTGTGGCTAGCTTATTTTTCCCAAATTTCTGCTGAACTCTTATTTCTCGAGAAAGAAGTCCCATATTCAACACTTAGATCGCAAATTTTTCATATTTGTGGCACGAACGATTATCAAAATCTCAGTGTACTAAGAAAAAAGTAGTGACATAAAACAGTAACGAAATGTTTATTCTGTTCGCGACCAGATAATCTCCGATAAATTTCTGTTTTAATTTCGGTGTATGTAAATACAAAATAGTCAAAGGTAGAACACACGTTCAGATCACGTTGAAATCATACACTGCTACGTGATTTCACGTGACATTCGTAGAGCGTGTAGAGCCGACGTAAAAATTTCCATTGTCTTACATTTGTTGGAAAAAAATTACAATTCACGTCACGTTGTTTACAAATAAGTGTATATGTAAATATGCAGGGATCGAAAAAGTTATGGAATCTTTCCATTTGGTTTTATTTAAAACATAAGCTCCTATGAGAATAGATAAATAAAAGTTCTAGGAAATGAAAGTTTTACTTTGAATAGAACTTATAAAATATAAAAGTAAAAATTTTTCTATAACGGGAACAGATATTTTGTTCATCAAAATTTAAAAACTTCTCAATCATTGTAACGAATACTGAATACTATTTAATGATTAGTACCAGAACAATATTAAATAATTATATTAATACGATGATACTGTTATAGTTATAACATTATCTCGCTGAACAGCAAAAATTATATAGTAATAAAATATGTAGTATGTATAATATTCATATATTCTATTATAGACATATACATACATATTATATTAAAGAATTTCTATGTATGTATTTCAGTTCATTTAGGATTATAAAAAGATGTTATTTAGGTATTATTCTTGACAAGATCTCCTTTCTGTTCACAACTTCTTATGAAACTATTAATTACTTATGATTTCCATATACGATAATCTATAATTAAATAAAACTACCAAATAGTTTGGTACTTTTATTTATCTCATGGGACCTTTTTTTAATAAAAATTCTAAAACAGCTTATTTCCATGGAACTTTTATTACACAAATTCTACAATATCTGTTCCATCAGAACACTTTTAAAAGAAGTTACTAAAGGTCATATTTCTTTCCATAAAAATTCCCCAGGAACAGATATTCTCTTAAACGAAACATATAAGTTCCAACAGAATTTTTGTTTTAAATCAAAAGGTAACTGTTTATTTCGATCCCCGTAAATATGTATGCAACGTGATAGCATATGATTTTTACGTGACGTGACATTACCGTGTTTCTACCTTAATAGTCAACTCGATTTTGCTGATGGGGGTCGAAGGGACGTTTACCTCTCGAACGTGTGTTCACGTGACCCAGTAGGTGTCTCACGGGACCGATCGACGCGTCCGATAATGTTAGAATATAACGCGGTGGTGGCGGGCGCGTGTCCTCGGCTATGAATTACACGTGTGCACTCCCGCGTACCGGTTGGCGACACGCGATCGATGCAGGCGCGATGACCTGATTACCGTGAACGTTGCTGCACGTGCCTCTGCACCACAGAAGTGAAGCAACGGCGTGCGAAGCGCCCTCCCCCATGCCCCTTTTCAACTTCACTCGTCTCCCCACGAGTTGGCCGCTCCGACCGTTCCACCGGTTTGACCTCGGATTTCGTCGCACCACGTGCGGCGACCGTGAAACAACACGAATGAACGCCTACTTATGCATACATATAGGT